TCAGAGTCACTTTGTCTCTGCCATACTTAATAGCAGATTTGACATCACTGTAAGAATCTGGAATAGCATTTAGAAGAACAATGGGGGTATATTCATCAATGGTTTTATCCCCAGTTAACTTTATGTCTTGCACAAGTTTTGTAAAAACATCAAGATTTTCATCTATATCTTTGTGCAAGTCAAGTTTAAATCTAAAAAACTTTTCCAGTAAAAACATTTTTGAGGGTAAAGAGGTTTCAGTGTAAAGCTCTTCTAACTTATCCCATAAATCTTTAGCAGTATCAAGCTTACCTATCTTTCTAATCACAGAGTCAGATAGGTTCAGAATAATCAGGGAGTAAGCAAGTTCATCATAATCATCTTTCATTTCTTTTGTGGTTTTATCATCATAAGTTTGAGTTATAGCCTTAAAACATTTCTGTTGGACTAAAACACCTTTCATTTTCTGTTTCCATATAGCAAAATCACCCTTACCATCAAAGGTAGCCACAGGATAAGAATTCATATTCACACAGAAGAGAAACAAACAAGGGCTCAGACACAAGTAAGAGTCACACAAACAAAAGAGCTGCACACAGACAGCAACAGAAAAGAAACACACAAGCTGCACACAGACAGCAACAGAAAGGAAACACACAAGCTGCACACAGACAGCACCAGGAAAAATAAACCACACAAGCTGCACACAGACAGCAACAGAAAGTAAACACACAAGATGATCCCAATAGGCCCAACAGAGAGCCAAGTGTTGCAGGGGGCAACAAAATAACCAGTCGAAGGCTGGGCTTTCTCAAACTATTCCCCTTCCCCAGATTCCTGCGACACTAAGCGGTCCGGACAAGGGAAGTTTGGAGTGGCAAATAGTGTGAGTTGGCCCAGAAGGTACCAAAATAACCGGTCGAAGGCTGGGCTGTCTCAGACTACCCCCCTTCCCCAGATTCCTGCGACACTAAGCGGTCCGGACAAGGGAAGTTTGGAGTGGCGAGTAGCCTGAGTTGGCCCAGAACAAGAGAACAGCGGAAGCAAGTTTTGACCACACAAGGTCAACCACAGGTTTTCCAGGATTTTACCCAGAAACAGATTGAGTGAGTCACAGTAGTTAAATCCGTAGCACGAGTCTGCAAAAGAACGAGTGTCCAACTGATGCTCTGGTACCACTGTTAGGTACACGTTCTTCCAAACATAGCCATAGATCTGTAAAAGACAGTTAGATAACACAGAAGGTAAAATGGAACAGAAAGAGTATAAAATGAAGAACGGCTCAGTTCCCTATTTCCAGTGTTCAACTGTAGATCCAAGGTCTGGTGGTAACACCAACCGAAAACAAGCACCAAGCACTGCCACTGATCGAAACCCTAGATCTGACCCCAAACCTCACTCCGAGTTGACTCACCAACACATGCACAGTCAACTCGGTGATAACTCACCCTCTCCACTCAGCACAAACCCAGATTTCTGCACACACAAAGCCGAAACCCTCACAAAAGAGGATTAAGACCAGAAATGAAGGGGTTTGAATAAAAGGTGAATCACACTTGTCTCTCTCTCTCACCACAGTATAAATACACGGAGTTTCAACGGTCTTCAGCATTAAATGTGCTGCGACGGTAAGGACACCCATTGTCCGGCCGGACCTGCGAAGGTGTCGCCGGAAAACGACAAGGGGTGATGATACACTGTAGAGAGAGAAGGGGACAAGGGAAGAGAGAGAAACGGCGCAGCAGAACAAAGCTGCTAGGGTTGAGAGAAGAAAAGAGGAGTGGGTAAATGGAGGGCTCAGATTGAAGCCCTCTATCCGACGGTCAAGATCTAGGTTTGACTGATCAGTGGGCTTAAGTAACATTGGGCCCGATTTCCCAAGTTGGGCTTAGAATTAAAATAGCTATTGGGCCCAGATCACAACAGATCATTTTATGTGAGCTCAATACTTAACAAGGAGTAGCAGAAATTGTCATACATTTCTATCTGGTTTCTGTCTGTGATAAACAATGGCAAGTAAGGAAAGAAGTATGAACACTGCTTGAGCAACTTCATTCAGAATCACTGTCTTTGAACGTTGACTTTGTACGTGTTGACTTTGAACTCTGTTCCTCATTCCTGAACCTTTCATTTCTCTGGCTCTGATAATATATTTACAAATTCTTATCAGAAAAAGAAATAAATCATTTGATATATATCTCCACGAAAATGAAAAAGAAAGAGCATCAGCCCGACCCGGTTGGCCCAATGTCAACCCGGCCCAACCAAAAACAAAAAAGCCCGAACCCATCAGCCCAACAGTCAACAGACAAATTTTATAGCAGGCTTCTTTTTAACCTCACAATTCAATTCATTAGTGATAATTATCTCCGATGGGTCTTTCAGCTTCAAAGCGAGTTCAGAAATCTCTCCACGCCTCGCCGGAGTTCGACTCCGCCTGCGCTGCCGCTTACGCTGACTGCCTCTCCCTCAGCCAACACGCCTTTCCCGGAGTCAAACCCTACCAGCTCCTCTCCGCCGCCGAACGCCTCCACACCACCCTATCCCAATCCCTCCGCCTCATCTCCCAGTGGGTACCGCGCTCTCCGGATCGGAGCCAGGTACACCGCGCTCTGGATACCGTTCTCTCTCGGCGGTCGGTTCGGGAAGAGGATGTAACGCTGGACGAGGCGGAGTTTAAGGAGTTCGCGTTGGAGGTATTTGCGGACGCCGTCGTTTCAGGTGCCAGGATGGAGGTTTTGAAGAAGGTGCCGCGTGGCGTGGCGGTCATTGCGGGCATCGGGGTGGTTGTGGGGTCGGCGAAGGAGGCTGTTGTGGCGGCGATTGGGATGTACGCGTTTGGATTGACGACCTCTATTTATCTAGGGTTGAACAATGGTTAATTCGTTGAAGATAGCTGCTGCTGATGTATATCAATCTAATTAGTTCAATGAACCGAAACTGTACTTTGAGTTTGATCAATAATCAATTTGCTTGCATGATATATATATATATATATATATATATATATATATATATATATATATATATATATATATATAGAGAGAGAGAGAGAGAGAGAGAACAAAGAGAAGCAAATTATCATCTTTTGGCATTAATATATACTCCATCTGAGTTTGTGATGCAACAAAAAGTGAATTGAGAAGAATGAATCAATAGGAATTATTACACGGTGTTACGAAAAAGAGGTTGACGAAAGAAACAAGAAATCACGAACGAAGTGTTACTCCTCATCGTACTCGAGTCCCGGAATGTACAGCAAACTAACATCAAAGATCACCGGACTATTGGCAGCCACTCTTGGCCTTCCCGGTGCTGACGTCAGCCCTTTCGGAAATGCTAGCTGATCACACATTAAGCCAAATTCAATCTTGTTTCACTTTCAGTGAGAGAAAGAGAGAAAGAAAGACGAGATAGAAAGAGAGAGAGTGTTGATTGATATGTTATTACCGGTCCAGGAACGTAGATACGGCGTTTCCCACCAACTTTCATGCTGAGGATCCCTTCATCCAACCCCTTAATCACCTAGTTTCCGAAATTCAATTTCAATTTCAAACAGTCTTAAAATTATAGATCAATAGAGGAACACCGTAGTGGAAAGTAGTCGGGATCTCACCTGACCGGAGCCCACCCGGAAAATGTAAATTTGACCTTTCTCCAGGGAACTACGAATTTCAGATATTAGCATAACAGTGCAATAGCATTAGTGAAAAATAATATACAATTTCTGCATGTGTTACCATTATTACCTATCAAATATTTGTCCAGACGGAACCATCGCAACATAATTTGCAGCCACCTGTTAATTCGCAAGTTCGGGGAAGTGAATCAGATTTCAATTTTTCTTTTTGTTTTTTTTTTTTTTTTGTATATGCAAAACTAATACGCATACGAGAAACCGCTTTTTAATACCTGAAATCCAACGGGAGGACTAGGTCCTCCACCGACTTTAATATCCTTGTACTGCAAACCCGACTCGGTAGTAATCATAGGTATCTACAATTACAACAAAATCTTTATATTTAAGCCAATATATCAACACTAGTTCAATAATGTTCATCTTTAATTATATGATTAAAGACTCTTAGAAGAGATTAGGGATGTACGTAATCTCACCATACATTTTCAAGCTCTTTCTCGCACGAATCGTCACATAGTTTCGGTTTCTCCTCCGGGGGCAATCCAGCTGCTTCAGCAAAAGTCGAGACACTCAAAAAGCTTACGAGTCCCAAACCTAGGTTGATTAGGTTTCTTCGGTTCGTAAAAACACACTCGTCTTTTGCCGTTACTGCTTCTACTCGTCTAGGCTCTGAAGCTAGGGATTGTACTCCGACACCGCTGTTGATTCTGTACACTTTTTGACAATTGGGGGAATCGCTTTTGCCGAATGTACAACCTGTACGTAAATAAATTGCCAACATTATTCGATAACAAATTACCAGAGACAGAATGAGAAAGTTCATTATATAAGCAACAATAGTAAATGAACTCTTCCAATTAAAATGTGAGTTTATAACACTCTGCAAAAAAAAAACGTGTAAAAAAATCGGAACTTTCACCCGATTAAACGGCATCATAACAATTTCCAGTAAGTGGAAATGTAGAAAAACTTCCAACCCAGATACACAACAATGTGAAAACATCATCTTGTTTAATTTCAGCAAAATTGCTTAAAATTTTGAACTCAATTATGATTTTTTTTTTCCTAATATGTTTCAAAGGAGCAGCCCACGAAACCCTAAGTCCTTAATTGCATGAATTAGCGATAATCAGCGCCGAAAATAAATAATTAACGGTTGTAATTTCATTTTTGGTGAAGCAGCAGTAAACTAATCAGAAAAATCAACCTAGATAGATAAAATTCAGATGATTAATCAATTTTATAAAAATAGAATTAAAAGATTAAACAAAAAATGTGTGTGTTCTTACGGATTGGAAGCAGCAAAGATGCTGATGACGCCATTGCTAATGAATAAGCAACCTGTATCTCTCTCTCTCTCTCTCTCTCTCTCTCTCTCTCTCTCTCTCTCTCTTTATCAGTCGTTTGAATTTGAATGGATAACGATATCAACCCAACTATTGGATTTCTCAGGGTATGGTGTCATTTACTAAAACACCCCTGATATTATGAGAAATGTTATTTGGGCCTCCGTTTGGGCCTTGACTGCAATTTTTTCTTAAGGATAAATTACACCGTCCCCCTGAAGTAAGGTCTATTTACAAAATAATACCTTATTTGTTTCATAATTACATAAACACCCTACAATATGTAGGTTTCCTACATAAACGCCCTTTTGTTGGGGTGGATGTAAGAAATTTATAGACTGCGTCACTGCAGGGAGTTGGATGTAATTTCTCAATTAAAAAGTGTTTTTTGGAAATTACATTTTACCTGGAAGTGGTTGTAATTTGCCATTTTTCTTATTTTAGAGGAATTTGGAAAATTTAATATAAATTATAACGTAATTATTTCAATTTCAATAATAAACTTGTTGATTTATTTTAGAAAATTTTCATTCACAAATAAAAACGAGTAAATTGAGAAGAAATCAGAAACATGCAATACCCAGACCAGTCGCTGCCATTGGAATATACAAATAAAATTGCTGATATTCATGAAAGATTAAACCAATGTCACTCCACACAAATGGTCTGATATCGTTTGTTATCTAGGTCAAAAATTTTGACTCTCCGACAATTTCTTTTATTCGGTAGTTATTCGTATTTTACTATTCGTTGAAATACGGACAAATACCAAATGAGAAAATAAAGAATATACGTCGTAATAACAAAGAAAATCAAATATACCCTCCATTTTTTTGTGGAGTCGACATTGGTCTAATCATTCACAAGTCAGCAGAAGAGAACAATTCTTGAGCTTTTCAGTCTCATAAAGGACTAGAAACACCAAACCAGAAAAAATTTGGGGTGATACTAAAATATCGAAAACTTATTGTGCATAAAGAAATGATTCTTTTTATTTTTATTTTTGCCTGTGCTAATTGTCCAAACGACAACATATTTATATGCATGAAATAAGAAATGATATTAATCAGATGGACAAAATATATATATAATCAGATACGAGGTCCTTGGTTATAAATATATATATATGGTTAGTGTCTTATGGAAAATAAATCAAATTATTGAAGAATCAAATCATAAAAATCCATCAAAATATGATGGCATGATTGTCCATGCTATATAATCATATAATTCAATAAATATAATTGATTGTTTCATTTAATTATATAATATATTATGATAATTTGTTACAGTGATTGTGGCATTTGGATAAAGTTTTGACAGAATAGTAAATTATCACTATATGGGATCGACAACATTAGTAAGTAATAAAAATTTATTTATTTGTACTTACTCAATTATTATTTTTTTATTTTTTTATCAAATTCAGAGCAATCATTAAATAAGATCTGAAAATTAAACTTCAAGTACTTGAGCTAAAACTATTATGGGCCCAATTTCAAGCGTAGGCCCAATATATAAAAGATAAGTGATTTGGGGTTTCTTTAATTCATTTGTGGGCCTTCAGCCCATAATTGAATTAATTAAAATTATATAATATAAACAACTTAATTATCATTAAAGGTAATTAATTTATTTATAATTATATTTCACGAACTTTTGAATTTTCTCTATTTCTCTCTCGAATATTTGGCTGATCCACGCATCGGATGATTTCCGCACTCCTAACGCGTGTTTGTGACGCAAATAATACCCTCATTTTTTCAATTGAAAAGGGTTATTAAAGATCGATTTATGAGAATATCTTGAGGTGATTTGTGTTTATTTATTAGAGACAGCATCCAATTTTAAAATAAAATCTTATGTCTCTAAGATATAGACTATCGTAAATTCTTTTTTTTTCTTTTTTTCAAGATTCTTGAATTTTGAATGCATGCTAAAGTTTTGAATACATTTGTTGAATCTAATGAAGGGATGTTAGAATTTTATCATTTTTTGACTTGAATAAAATTGCCTTAAAGAGATTTTTCACAATTAATCTTATCTCTTTTTTATTGTGGAATTTTCTTGTTTTTGACTTGAATTCAAATCATTATTTAGAGATTTTTCAATTTTTTTTTCTGGCAAAAGCTGGAATTTAGAATTTTGCGTATAAGTTTTTTAGGCAAATTTAAGTGCGTGTGTTGTATTTTCTACAAATTTTATTTTACTTAAAAATTATAGGGAAAAAATGAAAAAATAAAAAATAAAAAATGTTGAGACAAAGGTCAAATTAGGTAATTCAAATGGCCCAGCAGCATCGAGGAAACGAGATGAAATAAACAATTAGTAGAGGTCAAGTCAAAACACCACAACTTTTACTCATTCAATTACCGAAACTACCCTTTTCAAATAAAAGACCAAACGTGACCTCAGCCCACACAACATATGAACTCAACCATGAGGTCATATTTGGAATTCCACAAAATGTGATGCACTCAGTTCACACCTATTTGACACATTCAATTAGTTGACTTTTCTGATTTGGCTTCTTGGTCAACACGAAAACATCATCACATTTGTAAATACTAGAATTCATCAAATACTTTCACTACATATAAATAGAAACAAAGCCATGCATATTTTTTTTCATACTCATTCCAATATCAACACAATCAAAAAGATTCAATAAAAACCATTTTTTTTTTTGGATTTATATTTTATTTTCCAAAATAAATTAAGATGAAATACCAAAGAGCAGTCATTGTTTTGATTATTTTAGTATTTTGTTTCGCATGTACGAGCAAAGTAAATGTCGAGGCAGCTAGAATATTATCCGATGATCATTTTTCTCAGGCGAACCACCTCGTCAAGTTTCCATCAGTATCGTACGAGAACGCAAAGGTGTCGATGTCTTATTGGCTGCAACGGCTCGCATCGGGACCTAGCCCTAGAGGACCCGGCCATTAATTAGTCCGGTCGGACTTTTTGGCGGGAAAATTCACAAAAGAAAAGGGAAAATTAGCTAGAGTGTAGTTTTTTTTTTTTTTTTTTTTCTTATCTATTTTTTTTACTATGTAAAATTCAATTTATTCTTTCGTTTAGTTACGGATATATGTTGTTTATACGTCTGAAATGTAATTAAATCAATTAACTATTTTTTTTAATAAAGTTTGCAGTAGTTATTATTTTCAATTAGATCAATATTACGACAAACCGTTAATATTTTTATGCATAATTATATTTCATGTATTTAGGCCTATACAAAATAGTTTTTTTCCCTATTCATTTCTTTGTCTCTATTAATTTTTAGGGTGGCAATATATATTTAACGTGTTTTTTTTTATTGATAAAAATACAAAAATTAAAACATTGTTCGATGATACTAAAAGCGTTTATATTTGGGCTAAATGTACTTACCAAAAATCACAAATGATTATCGACGTGTATGGATCAATGTCAATTATGTAATTATTATAAAAAAAAACATTTGCTAACTATGCCAAAATTATTTTCTACTATTCCAAACATTTAAATTTAAAATTTCTTAATTTTCAATTTTTTTTTAAATATTTCCCAATAATACTCAATTTACTATTAGAATCGTCATACGCCTATACGTACCCTAGGGTTTCATTTCTTGCCCCATAAGGTTTGGGAACTCAATAGAAAATTAATTTCCAGTATATATATATATATATTAAAAATAATAATAAACCTTATTTAAACATGATTATCTGAATTAATAATTAATAATAATCGTAAACATTAGGTCATAAACACACACACACAAAAAAGAGCTGCAACAAAGATGAAGTTTTTGGTGGGGATGGTGGTAGGTTGGATCTACGGTATGATCTACCACAACGAATTTGGGCAGAGTTCACCTAAACCAGTTAAGGCGGCGGCGGCGCCGCCGGCGGTGCCACCTCAGGTGGATGACGAGGGTTTGTAATCTGAATCTTTTTTATTTATTTATTTATTTATTTATTTATGAACTCGGAAACCCTAATAAGTTATCTTCTTTATTCAAAAAAAAACATTTGACAGAATTCACGGTCGAAACACGAGACCCTCCGCCTGCGCACTTCATTAGCAAGATCGAATCGTTTTCCTTGCTTACCACTTATAAGATTAAGAAATACGAAACACGTGAATTTGTCGCCGGAGATCACAAATGGTATATATCTATAATATACATATATTTTGTACTTGTACTATGTACTTAATTCATTGATAAAGTTGTACGGAAATTGTTTTCTTAATTCGACGCAAAAATGTTTAAACTCTTAATTCGACGTGCAATTCTCTTAATTCGACGCGCCATTGTATTCGGACAGGAAACTCATAATCCATCCCGAGGGTATAAAAGACAATAACTATGTGTCCGTATACTTGGCCATGACCGAAACAAGTTCTCTGCCCGCAAATTGGGAGGTTAATGCCATCTTCACCATTTTTTTGCTAAATCAAATCTCCGACAAGTATATGTGTTTTCGAGGTAAACTTGCAATTATCTCTTACATTTCATTTTTTGTTTTTAATTGAATTATGATTTATCACACTTTTGTTAATTATTGAAACTTGGACAGGAAAATTGCGGCGTTTTAATCAATTGAAGTCGACATGGGGATTTTCCAAATTAATAACTAAGAAAAAATTGAGAGATGAATTGAACGGATACATTGTTGATGATAGTTGCGTATTTGGAGCCGAGGTTTTTGTGGTGAAAAGCGAACGAGTAGTGGAGTGTGTGTCTCTACTCAAAGTGTATCCACAGAAACGTCAATTGAAGATTCCCGACTTATCCGGATCGGGAGCTTGCAAAACTTCCGAAGAATTCTCCTCCGGAGATTACAAGTGGTATATATCTATCTATATCTATATATCTATATATATATCTAAATATATGTATCCATCTATAATTTCATTGATGTTTGTATTTGTTTGACAAATTGCATAGGAGGGTTTTGTTATATCCAAACGGAAACGAAAACGAAAAGGGGCAAAGCGTAAGTATATATTTGGAGTGTGTTAGTGCCAAGAGCTTCGGTCCGCATCAGAAGCTCAAGGCAGAGTATTGCATGCGCCTTAAAGGCAAGAACGATGCTACCTGCTCCACCGAAAAATGTAACTTCTTTTTTTTCCAATGATTTATAAAATTTATTTTACAAATTACAAGCTGCAAGAATTAATAACAAATATTTACTGTATGATTTTATATTTGCAGTTTCGAGCTGGTTTACGTCTTCGACTTTGGCTTGCGGCACACATGCATTAACAAGGATTGATAAGTTGTTCGACGCAAATAAAGGATTCATCGTCGATGATTGCTGCATTGTCGAAACGGAAATATCCGTCCAAGCTGTCGTCTGATATAAGTTGATTATTTGAATTTCTTTTTCCACATATTTGATTTTTTACATTGGATTTCAAATTCTTAATTCTCTATTTTGAATGACTTCCTCCTGAAATTTTCGTACTTATTTTGATTTTTCTAATCCTTTTTTAATTTTTAGTTTTTAAAAAGCATTTGCTTTTAGTCTCTTGCCTTTATATATATATATTGTATTCTAAAATAAATGTGAATAAATTAAAACCATTTCAAAATCCCCAAACCTTGTACTCTCACTTTTATAGTATCTTGTCCCAAAAAAAGGGGGAAAAAAAAGAATGTATAGGTGCATATAGGAAAAGAAAAAAAAAGGATCAAGAAACTAAGTATTTACGAAGAAGGGAGCGAAGTGATCAATGGCGTCGATGGTGGTGGCTGTGTCGAAGTACCGTTATCTGTCCAATTCGATTGGCCCCAATGCCACAACATACTCTCCCAAAAGCAAAACTCCTCGAAGCAAGTAGTCAACCGTGGGTCCCGTATCTTAGTCCTCCAATGTCCGTCACTATAGTTCCCTTTCTCCGCCTGCCGCCTGTCCCACTCAAGTGCCGCCTTCTGCTTCGACCTAAGCAAACAGTACTTCTGCAGATTCTCCGGCATAGCATCATGCACCTTCCACCAAGTCTTATGCGCCACATCACTCGCAAACTCCTGCAATATATCGACATTCCAGTTACAGTCATAGTCCCTAAAACACAACCATGGCTTCAACCCTAAATAGTGAAGAACGTATAGGACCGGCGGATCGGCACCAAAAAGACTCGTCTTTCTTTCCTTCTTCTCTTCTTCGTCACCCACCCAAAAATGCTTCAAGAAATTCATATGCTTCGGAATCCTATGCCACCTTGTGAACACTTCATTAAGATAGCCTTGGTCACCACCGTTATATGATTCAATCTCGTTTATATGGTCCATTAGAAGTTGAAAAGTGCAGTTCGAAGGTTCGATAACCATCACACCCGAGTTGAATAGGGTTGCGTTATTTCCTGTGGCAGAAATTTCCGGCATTTCGAAGAGGAAGTCGATGTTTCTTAGGACCAACAAATCGGCATCGATGAATATGATTTTGTCATATTCGGTTAACTGCCATAGACGGAACTTGCTGTAGTTCCACTCGTTGTACGCGTCCTTTTCGGCTTTCGGGTTTCGGATTCTTTCGATGGTGTGGATCTTCCAGCCTGCTGCCACGAGGCCGCCCCTGTGGTGGTCGGAGATGGTATCGTCGACGAGTATTACGAGGTCACGAGTCGAACCTGCCATGCGTATGCTCTGTGCTGCTGTGATGGCTCCACACACATATACGTGTGCTGAGTGGAGAATTGTTGCGTACGCCTCTCGTCTTTCGTTGCCTGATGACCAGTTCTCTGCATAGAATAGTTCGGTAATTTATCCTACGGTGTTTGGTATTTATTTAATACACTAACATGTAGAGAAAGAAAGAAAGTAAAATGTTAACAAATTCCAATCTAACCCCAATAATAATAATAAATAAATAAAAACACCCTTGCACATACCTACCGCCGCCCCTGGTCATACTAATCGAAGACGATAAATATAGAAACCTTAAATAAAAAAACTAACCTTTGGTCTTGAGAGGAACCGCGAGTTCACAAGATCCAACTGGGAGCTGAACCTTATCTCGTAATTTATTTAAATCGGGTTTATACAGCCACGCATTGCCTTGCCTCACAATTAGCTCTTTGCAAGTAAATAAATTCGGAGTTGGAAAACAGTCTGTAATAACAAGCACATGCACTGGATAATACCCTTTAGCTGTTGAAGCAAGCCTTGCAGCTTCGAGTTGTAAGTGGAACCGAGCAACATCTCTTGACCAGTTCTTCGATTTATTGCACGGAAGCTTCACTGCAATAAGGTCAAGCCTCGGTTTTCCCAAAAAGTCAACTTTGGGCAGAGTTGGACAAGTGGGAACTTCAAACTCTTCTTCTTCGTCTAGCCATTCTGGATATAGTGTCTCCCATGTTATGTTGTTCGAGGCATAGTCCATGGTAAGCATAACGTGTTCCGCATCGGGTAATAATTCCTGCCACTGATCAATTTCTTGCTCGTTGAAATTTAGTAATCCAATTCCTTTGTAGTCGTTGACGTCGGTTAATTTCTCTATTGCAGCAGAGACGTCCTCCCATTTGATGTCTAAAAGGGATGTGTAGCTTTGATCTATGCCAAATCTATCCTTTATCCATTTGTCTACGGTGCTTGATCTACAATCGAGTTTCGAGAAAATAAAAAATAAATTTTCTTTTTTATACATACAAATATGGAGAAACGGAAAGATGAGATACCTAGAATAAAAGGTGGAGTTGTGGTCCGTCTCGTGAATTGATGGAGATCGAAGGAGTGTGAAAAATGCTCCGATAATTATAATCCCTAACACAAGCTTCAAAGTAGGGAATTTGCAGCTTAATAGTTTGTCGAGGCTGGAACCATACTGACCTTCTTTCAGCACTCTGTTTCTTAAGGACCTTCTTTTGCTTGTATCCTCACTGAATCAAACACATTAGTATTAGCAAATAAATAAGCGAAACATAGAAAACGTAATGAAAGCGGTGAAAACAGTTTATAACTCAAAATCAATATTCGATTTACTACAGAATGTCGAAAAATGCAATGCTCACACATACTAACAGAAGCTCTTTACTGAAGAAGCCCACAGATCTTTTAACAAATTCAACCAAACAAACAGTCCTTACTATCACAATCTAAATCTGATCGAGAAACTTATCCTCATCCCAAACCTTTTGAAAAAGTCACCCTCGGTCAAAGCTAAGGCAGACTTACCTTGATATTTCGTTTCTTCATGAATTGTAAAATGCACAAAATAAGACAGTAGAAGAAACTCTTCAACGAATAATTGTTAATACCAACAAGTGAAACATGTGGTTGTTTTTTGATGTCGAACCAGACGAGTCAGCAGGAAAAATGAACTGGACTAGTTCTTTAGCCTCTGAACTAATTACCACCAAATTACTCTTCTACCTCACCAGAAATTAGCTCTTAGTAAGTTCATTGTTCATTACACTTCATAAACTTAGCTGCTACGTAAAACGAGCAATAAAAATAAAACGAAAAAAACCACATCGCCGAACCCAAAATCATCAACATATTATACCCAAATAATCCATAAAATGTTAACAAACAAGCATATCAAAATGAGATTTTAGCCATCACAAACACAAGGCAAAGCTCAATTCGAACAAATACAGTCGAAAAATGAGCAGATTCCCAAAATCCAAAAACCCTAAAACATTATGCAGATATGGTCAATAACCATGGCGGAAAGGAGCTTACAGCTGCGTGATCGAGTGTAAAATGAACAATCGAGAATTTGATTATAACCCAAAAAAAAACAAAGGAAAGGGATTTTTTTATGTAAGCTGCTTACTTGTTGAAGGAGAGCCTGTATCTCGGCTCTACTGAAGTAGGCGACGATCCTCTCATATTCAGTAGCTGATCGGAGTAACCAACATCTAATCTCAGAAAACACCAAAATTGCTTTGATTTCTTCAACCAGAGCAAATCGAAGTTGCTGAAATTTTTGAAAAGAAAATCAGATTTCAAGGGTTTGGATTCGTCGGGAAATGGTAGAGTTTGTCGCACTAAGTTTTAGAGAGAGAAAGTAGTTTCTGGTTCATTGTAGTTGGAGCAGGATTTGCTAATGGAGGAAATGCCAAAGAAGAAGAATCTTTGATTGTCAGATAAAAACAGCAAGTTAAGTGCGCGGTGGTTTGGAATTTATTTAGGGGTTAATAAGACTTAAGATAATTAAAAAACATGATTTGATTTAATTAAGCACTATTAATTAATTATTTTAATTTATTTATTTAGGACAGTTGTCAATATACGATCCATGAATAAATGATGAAACTGCATATCTACCCTATTAAATGGTGCATTATTATTCGTGATAATTTTAATTCAGTTAAAATTAAAATTGTGAAAATAAACTTTCAAAAAAAGTAAGTGAATATGGCCTAATTAGGGTGGTAAAGATAATTTATTCTCTAACCGTTATATTATTAAAAATAAAAATAGTAGAGTTAAATTTTGTGATTTTAATGTTTAAATTTTAGATATCTTTATCTTCTATAATTAATTAAATAGGGAATAAATCTAGAAACAAATTGAAAATGGTTACTGAAGCACGTGGTCAAATTGGAATTGTCGGATTAAACAAAGAATTTGGACCAGAAAATATATGAGAAATATAGTAAGAAATAATACTATACTATTTTTTGAATGAGAAGTAATAAAGTGTAGCAATCATGTTATACCATGTTTGGCCCACGATCTAAAGTTTTATAATAACACATTCATACTCTTTCCCCTTTGATATGAATTTAGTATAGACTATAAAATATGACAATTATATCATAATATGTTCACTTTTGAAAATTGGCAAAAATCATTTCTTGAAAATCCTATTAAATCTGTACATTAAAGTTGTTTCAAAATCCCTTTTTTACATGTGATATTTTAAAGGGTAATTTACGAAACCCCCGAACTTAGACTAAATTATGAAAAATACCCCCACCTATCTGTAATTACCAAAACTCCCTGACATTTGTTTTCATCTTACACCGGCCTCCCTATAGCGCGTGATATTTCATGAAAAATATCGATTTTATACCTACTGACGCGACATTTATTTATGTTACTTTTTAAGGACAAAAATTACAATTATGGGGCATTTACACAAAATCTTTATTCTTATTGAATAACACCTTCGCAACTAAAAAGTAACATAAAGAAATACCACGTTTGCAGGGGTATAATTGGCATTTTTTGAGAAATATTGCTTGGAATTAAAAAGATTCCTTGAAAAATCAAACCGGGGTAAGTATAAGACATAAACAAACTTCAGTGGTAATTAATTAATTATAGATAGGTGGGGGTATTTTTCATAATTTAGCCTAAGTTCAGTGGAATTTTATAACTTAGCATAATTTCAGTAGGGTATTCATTTTAAAATTGCTATAATTTAATTTAAGAAAATAATATCCAATTTTATGTTGAATGATTTCAACCCTTTGCAGAAATTTCCATCAATATTTTATTTCGAAATTTTGTCAAGTTTCAATCTCCTTCGATAGTTAAAGTAAGGCGAAAACACGCGACCTTATATAAATCTCGAAAGCAAAGAACTCACACAACCCAAACTAAATCACAGAGACTAAAAAATGGTCTTATATATCAAAATTCAAAATGGCCAAAATCATCTAATGTCACAATAAATTGTTAGATTTCTCAGTATTGTAAGAAGGAAATGTATGAAAGTCATTTAACCAAAAGAAAAACTTACAACGAACGATACTGTTTAGGAAGAGAATGAAGCAAGAAAAATCGAGTTTAGTTAGAGGGTTTCACAGCAGAAGATTGCTTCTTAGGATCCTGTTTTTTATCGGAATCTGCTGCCTTTCTTTTATCCTTTCTCTCCCTCTTCTTCAATGCAGTCATCCTCGTTTTCAGAATTGTTGCATAACTCGATTGAAACCGCTGATGATCTTTCACACCAACCTGTAATAACAACCGAATCACAAATTTATAATCAACACAACCGAGGCAGATTACTCAGCCAAGCAAACTGCTATGAATACGTAACTCAGTCATAAATGGAAAAACAAAATTCTAAACCAATTTATAACTATACACGTAACATGTGCAATAGATTCACAGACCCCTAGATGCCTTGAATCAGACGGGTTAGTTATTTTCGTAACTTGTCGAGTAAAGAACTATACATGCAACATGTCTCTAGAATTTGAACTTGATTCAGTCCAAATCAGACTTCTACACAGAGGCATATGATATATCCGTCACAGTAAGTACTTGATCCATACCAAAAGAATCAAAACGACACATCAGAGCTACTACATCAGCACGAATCACAATTTTCTAATGGGTTGCATATAGAAATTAAAAAAGAAAAAAAAAATGGATGCTAGAGAGTATATATATACCATTGTTGAAATGGTCTTCTTGCCATCTGTAGCTCGAACGAGGCACTTGTACTCAATTTTTTCCCCAGCTGTCTTCATCTTATCTCGTTTCAACTTAGACTTGTCAGAAGCTGGATAATAACAAAGAACAAAGAAGCGATCAAATCTTGATTTTCAAACAGCAAGGTCTGTTAACATACATGACAGAGAGGTGTAGAAAAACGGAATTAGGGATGAAAAAACTCACAATGCTTCAACGTAACCCACACAGAGCCTTTTTCTGTAGTCCGCTCGAACATGTTTGTAAGTTCATTGAGGAACGGATCCGGCTGTAAACGTACCTAAACAATTACATCAAATATCAGCAAAAGTGCTATCCGATTTCACTCGGAAAACAAAATTCGAAAATATTTTATTTGCACGTCAACTGCAATAATGCTTGTTCAAACTCAGCTACTTGCTTTTGCACAAATCCGACAAATACAATAGGTACATACGACGGGTTCCGATTTACACGCCCGTAACGTACATGAACATAGAAGCTTAATCGGATCGATAGAGGGGTTTCATTCAGTACAATGTACCACTTTTTGTGAGGTAACAAAATTATGATATAATGTTAACAAATAAGCCAAACACCAGTGATGACCTAATCTCCAATGAAGTCTTGTATCAAAGCTTTGGATCAAACTTGATGAAGACCAATTATGAACACGATTTACTTCCTCTATGAAATATTTGCACAAATCGAAAAAAACGGAAGAGAGTAAATCAAAATTTAAAAAAATCACGAACACTACAAATTGAGGAACAACTATTGTTTTATCAAACAAAATTGGTCCAAATTTAAAGCCCTAAACCATCGTAATTCCTTAGAGCGCAGCATTAACCAATTATATTACAATAATACGTAAGCAGAGAGAGAGAGAGAGAGAGAGAGAGAGAGAGATACCATCGATGCTTTTGGTGAAGGATGAGAGAGAAACTAGGTCCTGAAATCTTGGGGTTGTTTACTTTTTTTTTCTCTGCTATTTTCTTTAGCATGTTCTAATCAGTCGATCCGCATCCGGATCGGTTCCAACTATGACGGGTCGGACCACCCATTAACATCAGCGTTATAAATAGGGCCAATTTGGATCCGGTTCAATGGAATCGATTCGATCAAAGCCGGTTCGATTCACATGGATTTGGTTTGAATTAAATCTAATTAGAAATAAATTGGTCCGGCCCAAATAGGATCCACTGGATTTATTAAAGTCCAACAAAAAATGAAGTGTACCCAGTTCAATCCCAAAACAAATTTGTCAAAAATCAAAATTAAATCTGATTTCTCAATTCTCAAATCGTCAAAATCTCAATCCATCGCCATTTCTCATACTCTGCGTCCGCAGCCGTTCGCTGCCGCTCTCGGTCAATGTCCCGCCGCCGCTGCCGTCTGCAAAGCTCATTTACCGCCGTCTAAGTAGTAGTTATGTAATTATTTGTTGAGTGACAGTTTTGTAATTACTAAAGTTTTGTACTACACCTTGAAATTTTGCGTCTAATTCGGAAAAAAAAAAAAAAATTTATTTGTGAAAAATGAAATTCACCAAGTAGTTTCGAGCGAATTTTCAAGGTTGAAAAAATCAAGTTAAAAGGTGTAAATAAAAATTATTAATGGATCAAAGTAGCTCAAAATTTATGGCTATATCCTCAGCATCTCAGTCTTCTTTTGTTTAGCCTGTTTAGGTTGTTTTATCTTAGAAAGAATTTCTCGTAATGAATCGATCTGTCCAAAGAAATCGATAAAGTACGTACATTTTCGACATACAAGATACCCAAAAAAAAAAAAAAAAAAAAACTAAAAGATTAAGAGGCTAATGTTGCAAACTAATTTTGAATTCACTTCAAATCTCGGCGTTTAACAATACCATCGAATCGGAAACTGGTACCCGGTTCGAATCCAACTTCGAGATCTTCTAAGCTCTGTTCGATTTGTAAATCTTTACCAACTTTCAAACCTTCCTGCAATTTCAAGAAAATCGTAATTCAATGTAACCATTGATATATAAAATAACCCCATTCGATGAATATGCAGTCGAGTAAAGACAGTATATATATATATATATATATATATATATATATATATATAAACTTCTACGTCGTTTTTTTAGTACTACGTCGAAATTGCTTTCGATTTATTTGATATTCGTATTTTTATTGTACTTAAGACCCTTGAAGGCCAGTGAGAGGCTTTTATTCAAGCCGATATCCGCTGTTAGTTCAGGTAATTACAACCACTTACGTGGAACTATAAGCATCGATCTTTTGCTATCTATCTATATGTGTGTATGTATATATATACGGAGAAGAGAGTATCATGTATGAAATGCAGGTTTGGAGGCTTCAATTACGGAGCCAAATGTGATTAGCGTGAAAAACGTCGAGATAGTTGTGGAGTCTCAAGATGATGATAAGATACAAGTGAGCTTCAGTTCAGTTTTTGCTCTCGGGTTAACTTTTTATTTATTTACTAATTAATTTCAAGACTCGATTTTCGTGAATGCAGAAGAATTCATTGTTAACTAATACGAGAACTTTAAGGTTTGATCCTTTACTATTTGTTTTTGGTCAGGTAAGGGTGGATTTGTTAGGAAAAGAGACGCAGACGGTGTTCGATAAAGTTCTGAGAAGTTTGGCCAGATCAGCTCCACCTGTTCCCGGTTTTCGCCGTGAAAAGGGAGGTAAATATTTTTATGTATTTTTTTAATTTTTTATTTGTTTTTGAATTATACGAGGCTCTTTGTTTATTATTATTAACTTCTGTTTGATGTGCATGGGGACATCTGCAGGGAAGACAACTAAGGTAGAACTATTCTCTTTCGTTTTCTGACAGTGAATAGTCGTAACCATACATATACATGGAGAAGAAATTAATATATTTGACACACCACTAATATTTCTGGTACAAAATTCCATAGGTCCCAACGGATTTCCTTCTACAAATTCTGGGTGAAGCTCGAGTTACGAATTTCGTTATCCAGGAAATTGTTAGCTCAACGTTGGCTGATTATGTGAAGAAGGTAAAATCATTTTGTTACCTTCAATTTTTGACATATTTTTTGTTAATATGGCTCGATTAATCTATCTTGAGTCGATTGCTTCGCAGGAAAATCTTACTGTAAAGGAAAATAAAGTTAACACCATACAAACTGCTGAAGAACTAAAGTCGGTATTCGTACCTGGAAAAGATTTTGGGTTCAACGCCACGTTGGAGCTCGAGAAGCCCACTGAAGAAGAAGAAGACGCAGAGAAGAAGACGATGAAGAAGAAGAAGCAGCAGATAAAGATGAATAGTTTTTCGTCTTTGATTGTTTAGGCAGGTTTAATACGAGACAAGTACATTGGCGAAGTCGAGAACATGTTATGTACAAGTGCCAATTCCGTTTTGTTCATGCCTCAATGTTAGATTACTGTAGGTTGTTTATTTAATTTTTTTTTCCCCTTAAATTAGTTTCACACTAGATGTTGCTTATAGTAACTCGAATTTCGAAGGTGTAACCATGTGTTCTATTCAGAGTAAACATCATCTTGGTTCTTGACTTTTGTCGATTTTCTTATTGATATTTACTAAAACCGGAAATTATTCAGTCATTCTTTCAAGATCCAACAATATTGTAGTGATAAAATTTGATTTCTGGACACAAGTTTTCACATTGAAAAGCTCACTAACTTGTTACTCTTGATCGTCGATAGCATAATAAGCAGCTAAAACCCGGGGCAAGTATTTACACTAGAAAAAAAAATAGGTATCCAAAAAGACTATATCAAAAATTCAATCTACAATTGTAGTTCATCGAGTGACAATTTTACATAAAGAAATATATAAACAAAAGAGCAACAAATGTCATCTGAATTACTGGCTTTAGAGCTTCCTCCATAAACAAGCAGCTTCTAAAGTTAATTTGTCGGAGGTACTTCTGCATAAGCACCAAATTGCAGTCTATTTGCCATCACGAAAGATAATTTTTCATCGGTCGATGAAGACAGTAATTGGAGTCATTGGTTTTCGAGCTTTTTCCATAAAGAAGAGGCCCTTCTAATTATAGTATCTGGAGAAAATCCTTCTGCATAAGCACTTATGGCTGTTAAGAGGCTTCTGAACTTCTCCCCATTGTCCTGTATTGCACCCAATCGAGGATTAAGATTTTACAAGTATCATGTTACTGTGAATAAGGCAGTTATTTTTACACTAAGAAAATCAACAATACTAAATAAACAAATAAATAAATAAAAAATTTGGAAAATTACTGACCTCGGGTTTGACAAAAACCAGATCTTTGGTGGTAAATGGAACCATGTAGGATGGAAGATCGGAACGTAACATAGCCTACATTGACAAAGCAAGGTGCTTTAGCTTTTAAAATCTAAAAGCTCTGAAAATGATGAATCGATGAACATAGACAAAACTTACAAGATTCTTGCTTAAAATAGCCTGCTCGGCATTTGAAACCAATGCCTGAAAGCATTGAATCAATGAACAAATCAGATGAAGTTACACACACAACTACAGACATCAACGAGAACAAGTGATAAAAGGTAATATAGACAACCTTTTTGATTCGTTCCTCATCAACTTGCTCAACACACTGCAATAAGTTTTCCAACGAGCCTGGCAAATATAGAAGAGAAGATATATTGGCAAATATACAACAAAATCAAATGGAAAATGAATCGACAAGCTTCAGAAAACAAAGAAAAATGCCACAACGAGAATGACAAACAAAATCATATTTTTTGGGGTTGGATAATAACATACCAAACTTTGTAATAAGTTGAATAGCGTGAACGTTTCCGATCCCATCAACTCCTACATTATAGATTAAAGATCAGCCGGTCACTTTCTTGAATACAGTACTTGAAGCATGGTATACAGGTTCATGCATAAATACAGGCATACACGTGTGTAATTTTCCCTAATATTTCTTTTCCTGGGCACTAAATCTTGGCGAAGGAAAAACAAAGGAACCTGGTATATTATCAGATTTATCTCCGACGAGTGAGATTATGTCAACAAATTGAGATGGCTTCAAGGTTCCATATTTTTCAGCAAAATCTTCCATCCCAAAAGAGGACATCCTACAAAGATTTTGCAAGAATGTCAAAAATTTAAATCAGTCATAAGATGGAAAGAAAGCGACAAAAGTTGCATCAGAAAACATGAACTGAGGTCATGATATTCCCTGTACTAAGTAATCTCTACAAAATCAGGGAATCACTGGTCCTAAAAGTCCCACAACATGCTCAAATTAGGAATAATAAGAGGCTCAGGTTTCAAATATTATTCGGCCTTCAACATTTAGGACACAATGCACTATTCCACGTCTTACTTAAAGTTCGAACATAGAAATCGGAGATTTGACAAAATTCAGTGTCACAAGAACCTAATTTTTTTTTCGTATGCCATGTTCTAGAAAAATGACAAGGCCTAGCTTCAGCTGTCTCATCTTGTATTCAGGGACTTAAACTGCCAATCAGAAACTATTTAGACATGCATGCTATATTCGCTCGCAGCAAGCAAGAAATAAGAAAACAGTATTGGGTGGCAAGTTAACGGTCAAGGGTTATACTCACTCAAAGCCACGAGGAGCAATCCGCAGTAGGCGCAGTGAAGGAGATAGAATCTGGAAAAAATCTTTGTCCGGGGAGACAACACGTACCTGTACCAATGGAAGTTAACACAAGTCAGTAGTCAACAAAAATATAAATGATATAAAAACATCAAAATCTACTAGTTCAATGCAATATTACAAACAATGAGGAAGTTAAACGGGGGGGGGGGTGGGGGGGGGGGGGGGTGGGGGCATTTTTTTTCCGTTTTAAAACCGGAAAAATCTTAAAAAAAAAAAAGGGGCTGTTGGGACCCCCGGACCTTTTCCCACTGGAGGGGGGGGAAAAACCCTTAAACCTTTTTTTGAGCCTTTTAAAACCCAAAATCCCAATAAGTTCTTAACTTTTAAGCCCGGGAACCGGTTAAAAGGGGAAAAAATTAAATTTATGGTCCCCGTTTGGTAATTTTCCTACAGTGGGCCCACACCGTAAAACCCTTACCTCAATTACTTTGATGGACATTGCCTTGATGGATGCTTTCAAGTACTGAAGTCCCTGAACGATGGTATCTGGGGTTGGAGGCCGATTGCTTTTGTAAGAGGGATATAGGGTGTGCCGAAAATTCATGCCTGCAAGAAATTGACCAATCACTTATATTTGTGAGATTATAAATAGTTGTTGTTCCTAAACTTTAAGTTGTCCATATATACGTAGCAGGTTCAGGACAAACAATTGCAAGATGGATTTATCAATCAATAGATTGGCAAGCAAAGGGAATTGAATTAAAATTAAACAGGTTATATGATCGGATAACCATTTATTAAATGGGTACACATTCCATATGATAAATGGTCGAATACCCAAAGCCCAAAGGGTAAAACCAAAACCATGACCGATAGTATTTCTTTAACCAAATATGTTTCCAAACCCCAATGTGTTTTTCTGCCCTAGAATCAGCAATAAAATACTAAAGAAAAATGGAAACCCTTCAGTGATGCATGAAAGTTTGCATGTAATTTCCTTTATGAAGACAACATTGGGTAAACCTAAGCACCATGAAAGAGTCCTTTATTTGACCACATTGCACTCAAAACTTAACGGTTCAAATATGAGTTAAGAAGGGGAAAAAAAAGGAAAAAAAACTTTCAAATAGTTTACCTTTTGCAATAAAACTTTGTTTTGATGAAACAGATGCATGACCATATGGAACACCTGTAAAGAAAAACTTTGTTTTATCAAAAGATTCTACAAGTAATTCACTCACAGCCACATCTATCTACTTCTTTCAAGAGAAATTGCATCTGAAATAATTCTTAATCTTTTGTAAACCCTCCCTAGTCCAGTTAGGATTGAGTAAACCTTCAAACATTAAAAAAAAAACAGTAGCTCAATTCTATACTTTTCCTGAATTTCTTCACAAGTCAAGAGGCAACAATAGCGTTCATTTTAACTAGTATGAAATAAATAATCATGCCAAAATATGAGAAAAATTACTGCTAATTTATGGATCTTATGCATTAGCTGCGCAGCAACAATCTTCACTACCAATGAAAGAAAAAACATCAAATCTCACACATTTGGAATTGAGGCAAGTAAAGCCAACAGATCACCAATAAAAAGTAGAAGCATTAATTAAATGAAGAAATGAAGTAGAGAGAAGAAACATATATCTTACCATCATGGTCAAAGACGACCTGCACGGAAAGGGATAAAAGCAAAAACACAGGGAAAAACAACTTGTGTCAGAGCAGATATAGGAAAGAAAATCAGCGGAGAGCAGAAAATATAGATGAGACAAAAACCTTGAAAGATGAGATTAACAACAGAAAGGAAGAATAAAAAATGAATACATATATTATTCTTTAGTCAGTAACTATTTATAACGAAATAAAAAGAATTGTTCTGGTGATTGAAACACAGAGCAGACTAGCAACCATTGTTTTCGCATTACATCAAGGATCGCCTACGAATAAACTGAACACATATAATATATATTAGAAGGTAAAGTGTTTGATCTATTTATACCATTATAACCGTCCATTACAGGGAAGAAAGAAGGCATACCGCTACGTGTGAAGGGATAAACTCCAACACGTCAAGTATCTGCAACAAGGCAGTGAAGTACCTTTAGAACAATTGATTTATAATCAGTACTACTAATTGACGCAAATAAAATAATACCCAAAATGCGGCTTGTCCATCACAAAAAAATGATGGCATGCAAATGATGTGTTTCAGTTGCCTTGATGAGAGAATAAAAAGTTGAATTCATATTACACGTGAAAACATTTTGATAAATTCTGTTTGTATGGCACGCACAAACACACACGCAAGCAGAGAAGGAGAGAGAACATGTGAAGACAATGCCTTACCTTCTTTTTATATAATCAGTATATTTTAACCCTTTCAACCCGATGCCCCATGTAATCATTATAAACTATTAAATAAAGGAAACAAAAAGGTGTAAAGAAATACTATAACTTACCAGAGACAATGCACTGAAAATAGTTAGGACCCAATCTCCATTGCCATCAGCATGCTTGAGATGACCATGGTGCAATTTTGCTATTAACAAACAGTGGATATATTACGTTATTTCACAAAGATATCTTAAAATAGCTTTATGAACAGAAAAAGGAATAGAAGCCTATAAGCTACCCACACGTAAACAAATTTGAGGAATAAAAACATGAATACAGCTGATCTTATATTGAGTCGAATAAATTTGTTCGGTGGGCAAGAATCAACAACAAGTTTGCTGAAACTTATCATACTATATCTGGTTCTATCCTTCAACATTTTATTTATCTTCTATTTTCATTTATTTCACTTCACTATATTCTCTTCCTTAAAAATTTATCTATAAAGCATCTATTACCAAAGGCCGTACAAAAAGATGCAATTTAAGAAAACACACTAACCATTTTCAAGAGCAATCATTAAAAGAAATCCGTGGTTTACGTACCAAGAAGCTTGTAATATGCTCTATATATGATAGAAGTGCCATCAATAAGCATTACTCTGCCATTTGATGGACTAATGCTGGTTGATACATCGTCACGTGTGTCGGAATCGGAAAGTGTACTCTCACTAAGTGTGTGTGCATTTTGAGCAGATGCACTAATACCCCTTGAGAAGCTACGGCCTCCAACCTCACAAAATCCAGAATTCAAACTACGACACCCTTGGCAGAAATCCTGATTAACAAAAAAAAAAAAAAACCGCTAATATAACTAGAAGACAGAGAGCATTAAGTCTATAGTAATAGTTCGTGAGTAACGACAACTACCTTTTTTAACAGGGTAGATGAAGAGTATGTCCTCCTCGGGTTTCCGACAGTAATCAACTTGTGACATATCCTTTTATTTACTGAGAGATTCTTCCCCACACAACAATAAATTCCTCTCCAAACGCCATGAATTTGTGGTATGTGGAAGCAAGCCATGAAATACACCAAGTTTCTATTTGCAATATTTTCTATCTTGCACCCAAAAAAAAATGGATTTTCAGAATCAAACCTCAGTTCAGAAAAGCTGAAATTCAGAATTACACTTAATAAAACGGCATATGGTGAACACAGAAACTCAACGAAAACATTAAGATGGTTAAAATTTTCTGATGTTGATATCCTTATCGTTGGTTTAACACGGTAAGGATATCAATTCCTCAACTTTTTTCCCGGAGTTCATTTATAAATGTCTAATGATACAATTTATTACCAGTAAAAGGAACCTCAAGCAAAAATTAACACATACCGGCGGTTAAACCCTCACCGGCGCCGGCTCCATCAGCTCCGTCAGCTTACACCGCCGTGAATTTCCGCTCTATCGTTTGAAATTTTTGTTACGCTTCTCACAATCAAATGGGCCGGAAATAAACAAATGGGCCGGAATTTAATTTATTAATTGAAGGGTATTTTAGGGTACTCTATGATTTTTTTTTTTTTTTTTTTGAGTAAATTTTTTTATTTTTTTTTATTATTTTAAAAAGTCCATATAAATCGAAAAAAAAAATCCGAATATTAATTTAAAAATATAAATAGAAAACCCTGCGAGGGTTTTATGCGTATTACAGTGAGACGTTAAATTTACCGTTCTCCGCCTCTATCGCCGGCAAAACCTAGCGTTGCTCCGCTTCTCTCATCGGTATTTCTAATCTGCTGAACTTTTCACCCTTCGTATATTTATCTTGAGCACAGATATTTGGATTCGGAGCTCGATTCCACTTTAAATTAACGCAGTAGGTTTGATTTTCTCTCTAATGTAATTAGTTGAATTATTGGTGATGAATTTCTGACGGTGCTGTTAGAGATTTGCTTCGGAAAAAAAAACAAAGATTGATTTTGTGCATTTTGCTTTATCTGGACAGTATTTTGGAGTTTGTATTTATAATTGAATTCCTGAATTTATGGTGCAGGTTTTTGTGGTTATTGAGGTGAAGTAACCATGGGGAAGAAGGGAGGGAAGTTCAAGAAGAAGGAAAATACTGGGTTGGTTAAGAATAAGTCGTCCAAAATTCTTCTTGATGATGAAGACATGATGAACGACGAAATTGATGCATGTATGTGTGTGTATTTATGCTCAAGCATATGATGCTTTTCAACATATTACATCTTGAGAATTGCTTTGTGCTATATATGTGTATAATTATGGCTATCTTCTCACACCCTTTCTTTATTGTAGTTCACAAAAATAGAGATGTTGTGCCACTGAACTTAAACGAGGATATGGGAGATTCTGATGAAGATAATGAGCACCCTGTACTTGATTTTGAGGTTTGTTCTGCAATCCATGCCACTTTCCGCTTTTTGATATTTTCAGTATTTTTTTGAGCATATGGCTATTTATTTCATTTGAGTTGATTATCAATATGAAGCCATTGTGTTTTTATTATTATTATTATTACTACTAATATCATGATAACCGATTACTATTATTGTTATTGTTATTTTTCTTATGCTTTCTGGAGCTACAGTTGGCAGGAAACAGATGGACGAAACAATCATTATTTTTCATTAGAATGCAATCATGTTATCGAGGCATTATGCTTCTCATGTGGTATTCAATCGAAAAAGATCTATTACTGTAGCGAACAATGATTGAATTTGTTATATTTTATGTTCCATCTTCTTTTAGAGGAGAAGGCCTCACTTAACATCTATGTTTTTTTAATTCCTGATGATGTTGCTCAGACATCGCTCTCTAATTTATCTTACCTTTTGTGTCTTCTGTTGATTAGGATGATGAGGATGAGGATGAAGAAGTTGAAGACGAGGACGTTGATGATGATAAACCACAAAAGGGTCTGGCTGCCAAAAGTAAGAGATTCGTCTCTCTTGTTGAATGCTTCGAACATACTCTTTTGTTGTGGACCTTGGATAAATGAACTTGATGCATGTTATGGAAATATGATTTTAGATGTTCGTGCATTGTGTACGGCAACTTCCTTCTGTTCTTTTTTTGAAATTAATGTGGCGTATCGAAGAAATTGTTATTAATCAAGTGCTCTTTTATTTACTGTTTCAATTTTTCTTTAATTATGTTATTGCTAAAAAAAAAAAAAGAATTTTTGTGAGTGAAACTTTTGCAAGAAAATTTTACTACTATGTGAGATTGGCAAGTAGTAATCTGCTTTAGAATCTGATGCTTAGAGATCTTCATAAACCATATATGATAACTATCAACTATATCGTTCACCGTCGATTGTAGTCTCCTATGCATTTTACTATCTTTTTGTTCTTAGTTTGTCTCCATGATGATGAACGACTGTTATGCATGTGAGGATACCCATAAAATCTGAAGGAATAGATGCTCCTGTATGGTTATATAAAATCTGAAGGAACAGATTCGCCTGTATGATTATATTTTCTTATAGAAGTAGTTGGAATACCTGTCTGTGTTATGACTCAGTTTTTTTTCTCAATTTGCTTCTATATGAAAGGTGTAGTATTCTTATTGGTTAATGGGGTTGATTTCTACAGTTATAAGGACACAAAAGTACTTGCAGTCAAAGTTTGGTGGTATAGAGGATGAAACACTTGATGACTCCGAAGAAGAAGAAGAAAAAATGGATATTTGGGGTAAAAAGAATCCGTATGGTAATGATGTTGACAATAAGGTAAGGCTTTCTGACTGCTTTGTTTTTATCGCATTTCACTTTGTATGTGAATATTGTACAAATGTTATATACTACAGGTATTTTAAGAATTTTGAATGTGTGAAGTCATGCTATTAATAATGTCTAAAAATACTGAATTCTCACTGTTGTGATGTACATGAAATGAAAGCCTATTGCATAAAGTTTAAGAATGTGAAAGTTTAAGAATGTGAAAGTTTAAGAATATGAAAGTTGTGGCTCCTTTTTCCCTATTGCTCTCTTCTGATCTACCTATAGGATAACTAAGTTGCTGATTTTTCATCGACACCAACTCACACATAGAGCAGTGGTTGACAGCTTCATTTGGTTTAACTTCTTCAATTGACTAAATTATTTGTGTGTGAAACATAGTTGATACTTTTTTTTTCTGAAAATAATTGAAACAATTATCAAATAACTATGGATAAAAATATTTTTTATATTATTTTTCCTTTTCAAAGAAAAAGAATACTATCTAAGTAAGAAATAATAATGAGGATACAAACTAACTGGACCAAGGTTTACTATTGCCTTCCTCTCATAGTTTGTGATTACCCTCTCAAATTCCGGATTTAGTTTGAAAACTTTAATGCCCTTACCGTATTGATAATTACCTATCAAATCCGGTTTTCTCCTCTCGTAGGATGTAAATAGTAAATTCGAAACTCGTTGAAAAGTTAGGTGCCTTTACTTCCACAAGCTCAAGATACAGTTGTGTCCACTCAGCCAACTTCCCAGGATACTGACATAAGATTAGATATGCTATTGGCAGCAATTTTTTTAAAACTATTTTTGCTTTATTTTGCAATTTTAAAGTGAGTGTATTAACTTCTGTTAGCAATTGCTTTTGATCTTTAGACACCATCAAGTGACGATGAGGATGCAGCAGAAGAAGAGGCGGAGGTGTTAAGATTGCAAAGTGAAAAAGCAAAACTTCTTTCAATGGAGGATTTTGGTCTTGAAGATGCTAGCGAAGATGAGACTGGCAAGGAGCCCACATCGGAGGTGAAAAGAGTTGCATTAAAAGTGATATTTTCTGAATACTCGTGTGAAGGAGATGCTTGGAATTTAAAAGAAACTTTGCTGATCTTTTCATCATTTTCCGCACATTTCAGGAGATTGCGAAAGGAATCAACGAAGAAGATGGAATGACTTATGAGATAGTAAAGAAAGATATAAATGCTCTAACAAAGGAAGAGCAAATGAATCTTATCTACAGGTCAGTTTGCTTTCTCAGTACCTTAATCATCCTCTTTTCGTTCTTTGTATGTGAACTTAGAGGAATCTGATTGAGGTGATTGATGGCATCTAATATTAGTCGATGGCTGCATGTTTGGTTGTAGTTGTAGATCGTAGAAAAAATTGCTTGTTTTGGCGCACTAAAAGTCTTAAATTTATCTATCTGTCTTTACTTTGTTAGCTTTTAATGCTTCTTAAGGGATAACATACCAACTTCTTGTTTACAGCTCCGCTCCGGAATTAGTTGGCCTTCTGTCAGAGCTGAAAGAAGCCCATAAGGAACTAGAGGACAAAGTTAGCCCACTTGTAAACAAGGTATGGTTTAATTAGTTTGATATAACTCGCTTTGTGCGTAACCTTGTAGTTTTTGGTGTTTGGTATAGTTGGACTTTCATGGGTTTTATTTCAATTAGTGCAGTTTACACTATAAATCAGTTTATCACGATCAATATGGTGACTGTTTGCTCATTTTATTATTATGTTTGATCTATGAATTTAGTTTGATCATATGATGTTTTAGAATGCATTATACTAATCACTTGCATTATTTATAAAGATTAGTGCACAGGAGAGTTCAAAAAAGGGTGGGCTGCATTATTTTGAGGTAAAGCAGCTTGTGTTGCAATCCTATTGCCAGGCTATAGTCTTCTACCTTCTTCTCAAGTCCGAAGGGCAGCCAGTTCGTGATCATCCAGTTATTTCTCGTCTAGTGGAGATCAAGAGTTTACTGGATAAGGTTATTGCTTCTCACTTCTAGGCAAACTTGATTTGTGATTTCCGGAATATTTTCTAAAATCAATATTTTCTCATGACAGAGTAGTATAAAAAAGCATTAGGCAATAGCACTTATAATGGATATTACCTATTCATCTACATTGACTAACTATTCTGGTGATTGTCTCATCTCCTGTCTATGGTCTCAGATAAAAGAAATCGACGACAACCTTCCTTTTGATTTGGAGGACCTTGTGAACACGAATGTGAATAACACGACTATCAGGAAGTTAGTTGAAGAGGCTGCTGTATTGGAATCTGATTCGTTAACCAATAGCCAGATAGTTTCTGCAGTGTCATCTGAAAATCAGGCAATGCTTGAGGTAGATACTTTTTGGACTAGTCTGCTGATTAATTTCTCAGAATCCATGTAACTTTTAGTCTTTTGTTGTGTGCACTATGTTCATTAATATCTTAACCTTACTCTTCCTTATTTTTTTTGTTATGTTCAATTTATAGTCTCAAAAAGCTGCTGAGTTGAATACATTGAGTAGTCAAAAGAAAAACAAGTCACAGCAGAAGCATCAGGTAAGCAGATCAACCAGTGTTTTTTAGTTTTTACCTTATGCTATTTGTATAATTCAAAGCCTTAGCTTGAATATGTTGATGTAACTAAATTATGTCAGGATCAACAAGTCGGAATACAGAGCATGGAAATGTTAAAATTAAGGGCTTCCCTTGAGGAGAAATTGAAGCAGAAAGGTCTTTTTAATTCTATTACACCGAAGAATGGGAGGACTGGAGAACAACTGCAACCAATGAATAGGTATCTCTTTTTTCACTATGCAGTTACATTTCTCCTGTTATTATGATATGTACAAGTTAATTGTATCATCCGATACTAATTAAAGGGACTGCTGAACTGTGCTTTGTAGACAACTTGAGACATTGGATGATTTTGTTGATGAAGCCATGGAAATAGACGGGGCAGCAAATGGCAGATCAAGCAAAATTTCCCAACAACTGGCTCTTCGTCCGAATAAACGCAAGGTATGAAAGTTTCAACAGTAACTCTTCATTTAGACTAAATAATTTTGCTTTGCAAGATATTCTATGTATTTATGCCAATATCTTGGTAGTTCTGATAGCAAGTAAAATTCTGAACAGTATGAGGGATGTGAGATCTGCAATTATCCAAAGTATAATTAGGAATTAAGCAACTAATAATAATATACACAAACTCTTCAAGTTGGCAGCTGTAAAAACGATATGGAATAGTTCACTGTTTGATTAATTTATTAAAACATCAAATAAAATAAGGAATTATACATTGATCAGTTGATTTGTCTCTTTCTCTATCAATAATCATAGAGTGGTTGATTATTCCACCAGTTTAACTGTGGTAACAATCAGCTTCATTTTTCTCTGATACATACATCATGTGATCATTTGAATTTCATTTGTCTAGAATTTTGGGACATGACGCAATTACTCTCCACCTGAAGTATATATGTCCTCGATAAGTTTCCGTTGGAACTAAATTGTCTTATTTTTATTTTTTTTGGAAGGTTATTTCTGGTGATGACGATTTACCGAGACGGGATGATATTGGAGAAAGGCGAAGAAAGCATGAGCTACGAGTCCTGGCGGGAGCTGGAATTAAATCTAGTGATTACTTGGAAGAAGAGACTGGCAACATTTCAAGTGATGGAATTGACCATGTTGGTGGAGAAAGTGAGCATGATTCCGATTTGGAATATTACAATGAAGTTGAACGAAAACACTCTGCAAAGCTAGCTGCAAAATCTGACAAGTATAACAGGTATTTAAGTCGGATACAAGCAGCACATTATTTGCAGTGGTAGTGAAATCTTGGCCCCGTTTTTTTGTGAACCCCACATAGTTTATAGAGATGGAGTTTGTTTATCTTGTTTGTCTGAATGGAAGTGTATCTTGTAAACCATTAACGTATTTTCCATAAACCAATTTTACAGAACCACAGAGGTTTTATCTGTGCCAGAGGATACAGTTGACGGAAAGCGCTACATCACACGTCAGGTAAGAATTTGTTTTTCTTACATCACGTATATTCTGTTTTCACTTTAAACACCGTGCCTTTTCTTTTTTTTTTTTTTTTTTGAGATCTACCTGTTCGATAATTTGTTTTTGGTCAATACTTTTCTCCAGATTGAAAAGAATAGGGGGTTAACTCGTGCACGTAAGAAGCTGATCAAGAACCCGAGGAAGAAGTACAAGGTAGAGTTTCTCTCTCCATATATATATATATATATATATACATGTATCTGTATGTATAATAGAACACTGATTCTTGTCTTGCTCTCCTCCAGTTGCAACACCAGAAGGCAAAAGTACGAAGAAAAGGGCAGGTTCGTGAAATTAGGAAGCCCACAGGCCCGTATGGAGGTGAAGCATCTGGTATTAATGCCGGAATCAGCCGTAGCGTCAGATTCAAAAATTAGTTCTTTAATTTATGGGGTGATGATATATGTGGTGCACTTTGTTCAGCTCACTGATACACACACACACACCTTACAGTTGAATTGTATTGAGTTTTATATTTTCAGTTTTTGCTTCTGTTTCTCTTTTAAATTAGTTTTTATTTAATTATTTTGAAGTTGTAATTGTAAAATTACCAGCGCAACAGTCTTTTTTGAGCTATATTGGACATTTGTGTTCCTATTGTTTTATATCTCAATTAAGTTTTTATGGATAATTGAAGTTAAATTGCCACAATAAGTTGCAACTTAAAGCTCAATTTCTAAATTAATTTTTAATTAAAGTTCCTTTTTAATGACATTTTGCAAACTATCTCATTTATTTTAAATATAGAGTTATTTAAATTTTTATTAACAATTATCAACTTATATGGTTTTACTTTTTATAAGCATTTGCAAGTCAGTAGCATTTGTATTAAGTAATTTTTTTTAATAATAGAGAAATATAAATAAATAAAGGTTTTTATTATTTCCCGAATATATTGGCCAACGGGAATTTAATATAAACTGCCGAGTATCTGGCTACAGCCAAAGAGAGTGAGTGTGTGTGTGTGTGTCAGTGTTTAGTAGTTCAGTCTTAAATTCCGTTCGTCTCTCAACCAGCGGATTCCCCGAGGAGAAACCCCAACGAAATTAAACCCCAATTTCATTCTTCACCGGCGTAATCCCCTTCTTGCGTCGTTTGTTGTACTATACCCTGATTGGAGAGATTCAGCATTTGTGGAAGAGTGGAGAGCCAAATGATGTGGATAATGAGATCGATTCGGCGGCCGCTCGTCCAATTTCACTCTGCGGCGAGCTTTTCTTCTTCCGCGGCGGCGGTGGAGGCGGATAGATGCGTTAGAGAAGGAGCCAGGAATGATTGGAGGAGAGAAGAAATTAAGGACATCTACGATTCCCCTGTCCTCGATCTCCTCTTCCATGCTGTATGCTACCTACATTCTCCCTTTTCTGATGCAAAAATGTGTGTGCGTGCGTGTGTGTGTTTTTTGTATGGGAGGTTTTTGTTCTAATTTTGTTTCCATTTGATGAAGCGGAAATTCTTTCATTTTCTATAAAATGACCAAATTGAGAGTAAAATATTTGGTATCTGTACAGTTGCAATTAACAATTTGAATCATATAATACTTTAACCAACACTGCAGAAGAGTTTGTATTTTAGGCAAGTTAAGCTCGGTTTCTGCCTCCGGTATTTTAATTGTGTTGGGCTCGTTATTTTGCAGGCTCAAGTTCACAGACATGCTCACAATTTCAGGGAAGTGCAGCAGTGTACTCTTCTCTCCATCAAGACTGGTGGTTGTAGTGAAGACTGTTCTTATTGCCCTCAGTCGTCCAGATACAGCACTGGCGTGAAAGCACAAAAGCTTATGAATAAAGATGCCGTTCTCGAGGCAGCAAAAAATGTGAAGTTCTAAACATGGCCAATTATGGTTTATACATTAAATTTATAACGTGTTACCTTGTCTTGTTTTACTTTTTGGGTTGTTTTATACATGAACAGGCAAAAGAGGCTGGCAGCACTCGCTTCTGTATGGGTGCTGCATGGAGAGACACCATAGGAAGGAAAACCAATTTCAGCCAAATCCTCGATTATGTTAAAGAAATAAGGTAACAAATTATGACATACAAATTACAAGCCTCGTCCGTAATTTTTTTCATCAGATATGATCTTGTATGACATCAATCCTTGTTATTCCATTTTGTGAAAAGCCATAGCCGTATAACCTACGGGCTCAAGTTTATAGGGCTACTTGATCCGACAGAGAAGCTTATGAGAACTTGGCAATTTTTTGTATGAACAATGTCACACATCTAGACTCTACAGAAATGGTTGGGTTTTCTTGTTTGAATTTCAAAGATGAATGTTTCTTTATAGACAAAGAAATCAATAGAAAATACATCAATCATCTGTTACACCCTTGAGTTATTCACTTGCATTTATCATTTGCAAATAATGAACACATTGGAACTTCTCCTAGGGTTAGTCCCGTTAGCATTTATTTTGATTTTTTCCTACTTCCATGAAATTTACAGTAGATCAGATGGTAAATTGCTGTGAGCATATCTGCAGGTTTTAGATTCGTCCCTTTTTTTTCACTATGCGAATTGCATTAATCATCTAAAATGATCATAAATGTTTACGTGGTAAGGGGTATGGGGATGGAGGTTTGCTGCACTTTAGGGATGCTGGAGAAGCAGCAAGCTCTAGAACTGAAGAAGGCAGGACTTACGGCTTACAACCATAATCTCGACACTTCGAGAGAGTACTACCCTAACATCATAACTACTAGGACCTACGACGAACGTCTGCAAACTCTAGAGCATGTTCGTGATGCCGGCATCAATGTCTGTTCAGGTAAACTGTACATCAATTCCTCCTAATTGATATGCAATTCTTAGTATTAGCTAACTTTTGATTTGTAAATAATTGGAAGAATTTATGCGCCGAGTTAATATTCAAGTTTACATATTCAGGAGGGATAATTGGGCTCGGCGAAGCAGAGGAAGACAGAGTTGGTTTGTTACATACATTGGCAACTCTCCCTGCACACCCTGAGAGTGTTCCCATTAATGCACTCCTTGCAGTAAGCGGCACACCCTTGGAAGATCAAAAGGTAGCCGACCTCTGAATTATATACTTTTCAAGATACCTCCTATCAAAAGATAAATGAACCGAGGAAAACAAATATGCAATAAAAAGAACATTTCTGAGTGAAACACTCCGCGCACACACACACACACACACACACACGCGCGCGCGCGCGCGCACGCGCACGCCCACGCCCACACTCCGGAGTCTGAAACAGGAAATAAGCGTTATAAGGCTTAAATATCATAGTCTTAACACCCATTAGTTTTATACTCTCGAACACTATTCATTCCCAGTTTTTTGTATATTGTTTCATCTGACTTTCAATATTGCTTTATATGTATATCAGCCAGTTGAAATATGGGAGATGATAAGGATGATTGCAACGGCACGTATTATCATGCCAAAGGCAATGGTTAGGCTTTCTGCTGGTAGGGTCCGTTTCTCGATTCCCGAGCAGGCACTTTGCTTTCTTGCCGGTGCAAATTCCATCTTCACAGGAGAGAAGCTTTTGACAACTCCTAACAATGATTACGATGCTGATCAAACGATGTTTAAGCTCCTCGGACTTATTCCTAAAGCTCCCGATTTCTCCCAGAATTTAACCGAACCTCAAAATGTCGAAATGGCAGCTTCGAGTTCTGGTTGAAAAAGGTAATTTCTTCTTCCCCTGTGAGATCCTTTTTAATCTGGAAATTTATTTAACCTATTTAAAGACATTTTTTTTTTCTTTTTCATTTTGTGAACTTGTCATGAAGCTGTAGCTGTACAATAATATTGTTAAAATTTGTCATCCTAAAATTTGCTATGTACTAGTATGCTTGCTATTATCAAGATATATGTTTTATAGCTATTTTTATTAGATAATATAAATTGATGAATTAAAATATATAATAACTAATTTATATTTATTGGACCTTCTTAGAATATAGTCCCAAAACATTTGAGCCCACCATTTTCTAGAAGTGGTTTATTATTTTCTTCCTTGTCCAACTTTTACTATCAGGAGTTTTGTATACATTATTTATTAACTTAAAACAGCTCAATAATTAAATAAAATAATAATATGACTTTTAATTTTTGAATTTCACAAATAAAACTCTTGCTGTGACAGTGAAATCCCTTCCCCACACATTTTTGCATCATCACAAGTCTCCCTCCAACTATACAATATAACATGCAATATATCTATTCTTATCCTTATTTAAATATATATATTTATATATAATAAATATTAGTTGCACCATCCATATATTCTTATCCTTTTTCTCTCTCCTAGGAGGTGTTGAATTATAATAAAATATAATATATGAAACAAACAATAACAATTCTTTTTCATCAAACCAACATGACCGGTCAAGTTGTCTTGTTAAATTTACTTCACTACCCTTCCTACACTAAATTAATTTCCACAATGCCAAAGAACTACTTATATATATATATTGGACAACATATTATATTTCATTATTTTGTACTTATAAGTTATGTAAGTATCTCAATCACAATAATTGGGTACAAGTTGTCAATGTTGACTTTGTTAGCAGCCGTATCATGTGCATCAGTTTTCAACTAATGGCAGCTTAGATACAAATATCGACTTTAGTTCCTCCTAGCGGCTGTTGACAAAAGGATTAGAACCTGGATCAATTGATATAAATTTACTTGCTCCAACAGCTAAATCATCAATTACGAGATGTGAATATTATTTTCTATTAATGGGGTGAATGTAATCATAATTTAATTTACATATTTACCATTCTATCCACTTTTAGAGTGTATGAATATGCCAAGTCAAACTGCATTACTCGGGTTAAGTGTGTACACTAAAATAAATTTAATTTAAAACTATTATTCGTTCAATTTTAAATTATTATATTACATAGCATCATTTAGATTTTATATTCATCATGGTAGATATTCGATGAATGGAAATTCGTGTCACTATTAAATTGTTAGGTGAAAAAACTCCATCTCCTTGTCTTCCATTTCAATCATAATTAATTAATATACATAAGACAAAACTACACTTAACTAATCCTAATCAAAGTAATTAATTTTTTTGTTTTTCCCACTAATAATCTTTTGAAATTTATCGATAATAGGATAATTCAAATATTTTCTCATAATTTATTTACAAAGTACTTCATGTATATAAGTCTTAATTTACATTTACAGTATGGTGTGTAAGTTATTATACGTAAGTGTAAATTTATTCACTGTACTTATATTGAAAAAAATAAATTAAAAAAGATGCACATTGGAATTTTTAGTCATGAATCATGACACTTCCCATGTACTTTGCATGGATTAAATTAGGGTAACTTATTGAGAATTGCAAAAAGTTAAAAGTTGAGTGACCAAACTATAATTACACATAATTAAGGTATTGTTTGGTTGGCACTGGCACTCGAGGACAAAAGATATTTTCTCGGAGGAACCGTGTAATAAAATCCCACATTGAGGGGTATTATCGTCAATTCGTCCTCCACGCATGCCAATTCGTAAATTCCGCCACTACCCTTCCCCACTCAGAGAGAAGCACCACCTTTTCTGCTCAAAAACCCACCACCCACTTCCTCTGCCACTCTTCGCTCCCCGCTGCAGTATTTATATGCAACTTCCTAATTTTTTTACTTTCTCTCTCTAAAACAAACAAACAAACCTCCATTATATTTTTCCAATTTTTTTTTGGGTTCAGGTAGAGAGAGAAAATGGTGGATGAATTCATGGTGGTGTGCGTTGACAGGATAATAGCATCAGCTGCATGCTTCAAAGAACAATCATCATCATCATCGCCCAACAACAACACTGAAACAGAGCAGAAAAAAGAAGAAATTGCTGATAAAGATGGGATTTTTATGAATGGGAAAAATGGTGAGGGGACTTCTTTTTCTTCGGTGAAAGTCAAAGGGTTTTTGAGGGAGTGCAGAATTTGTCAGGAGGAAGACGATGAGAAAGATATGGAGGCTCCTTGTTCTTGCAACGGCACTCTCAAGGTTTAATTTTTATTTTTTTTATTTTTATTTTTATTATTATTTTTCATTTTATGAGATGGGTTTTTTTGTTATTTTAATTTGTGATTCCTGGGCTTTTTTTTTTTTTTTTTTAATTTGAATAAATCAATTTTTCTTCTGAGGTTTTCTGTTACTTAGGGCTTTTTTCCCCCTTTGTGTTGAAGTTCTGGGTACAAATATTTGAATACCAAAGAACTGTATCTATCTTTGTATAATCTGCAATTTTTCACAAAGATTGTAGAATCCAAATGTAAGTTTTTCTCTGTTAAATCTGTACTTTCAGTTTTTTTTCTTTATAAGCTGATGTATTAAATTAAATTAGATTAAATGCAGTTTCTGCATTTAAGAGTAGTCTGCTTTAATTGGATATTTTGTTGGTTATTGGTTTGGGATTATTTAATAAATGGATCCACCTGTTATCCACACTTTTTAATTTTCATCACGTTCGGTTCGGGTTCGTTCGTTGCTTGGACTTTTTCGTACGAGCTTATCCATTAATGATTAATGCACATGTATCATGTATGTGGATGGTCTTATCGATCACTGCTCTTTTGATTTATGGGCTGGATGTATGTGGAGATGATTCGTTTTAATCAAGAATTTGTTTCTTATCCTCATACGTCACCCTCGAAATCAAATTGTGGTGGCAATTTCTTTTCGATTAATTAGCTTTTATCTCGTGCATTGAGCTAATGTTTGGAAAAAAGAAATCTGCTTTTTTGTTTTCTTAGGTTTCGGTAAAATTTTAAGTTTGCTATTGTTTGTCGTCTTGACTTGTTAGTAACTGATTTAGTATCTACTTCGACGAATCTTTTTGTTTGCTTTGATTAATCTGTAATGTGCTTCAATGGACGAAAATAAAGAGAATTTATTTTTCACATACTTCATAATATAATTTAACCGATGTTATTTGACATAATCTCGTATTTTCGCTGCTGTCGTTTTAAGTTTTTTGCTACCTTCATCGATTGGATTGAATTCCAGTACGATAGATTGATTTTAATTTTACGAAGAAAATTGTCTTGAAATATTAATTCTTTTCGCTTTGTTTCTCATGTTTCGTTTGGCGGAGAAAAACTATACCTAATTAATTTCTTGAATTTCGATTATTTTGTATGCAGTTTGCTCACAGGAAGTGTATTCAGAGATGGTGCAACAAAAAAGGTGACATCACCTGTGAAATATGCAATCAGGTGAAAATCTATTAGCACTTACATTAACTGCAAATTGCTCAAATCACGATATTTTGTCGAAACTCAACTCGAATTTGTCGAACAGGTTTTTTCACCGAATTACACTTGCCCACCACCAAGAATCAATGCCGATGTCTTGACTATCGATATCAGGTATTTGGTAAATATTCAATCTGCATGTCAAAAAATAAAATCATACATAATCAGACAAGTTAATAATGAAATTCGGTTTGACTTACGACATTTACTCTTATACCCTTATACATCAGACAAGCATGGGGGTCCCACATAGATTTACGAGACGCTCGTATATTGGCCTTTGCAGCGGCTGAGCGTCAGTTTTTGCAATCTGAGTACGACGATTACGGCATTACAAATAGCAGAACTCTCACATGTTTCCGCTCTGTCGCTATTATCGTAAGCTAAAAACACGTTTTTTATTACACTCTCATTTTCTTGTCAACTGTTAATTTATTCAGCAAAAAATGTAATAATCTATTTCGTTAAATTCATATTCACAGTTGATGCTGCTTTTGCTTATTCGCCAAACTCTTATGGTCACACGAGACTTTGGAATGGTTCACGAATCATCAGTTTTCTTCCAAGTAAGCCCCATTTTTTTTTATTACAGATATTCATTTAGACAAATATTTTGACGGTTAATTTCATTACGTGTAATGCAGTATCAGATTTCGGCTCTTCAGCTAGCTGGTTTTCTTCTTCCTTGCTACGTGCTCGTTCGTTCATGGTACATCGTGCAATGTCGAAGAAGGAGATAGGTCTGTTAATTTTACCTTCCATGCAATTTCCGATATTCGATTCTCGTTTTTCGCAAAACATAATAAATTTAAGCTTAAATTGTTATCGATTCAAAAAAATTATTTCTTTTATCCACCAGGGTTGAGTTGAGTTGAGTGAGATCAACGGGAATTGTTTCTGTGGCTGAGCTTTTTTTCCTTCAAGTTCGAATCATATCGAAAAGACCTTATGAACGGCGATTTAACGGTGTTAATTAATTAGCATTAGTTAAGGTGGTAATGATGTTTTATTATTATTGTACCTGGGAACTCAAAAAGCTAAGTGTAAATGTGATTGTTGAGTTCACTAAGGTGCTTCTTTACTTTCTATGTTTAATCAAGAAAAGTCCCATTAAATTATGTGCACATATTTTCTTGAATTCTTCTAAAAAGCCTCAATTTTCATATTAGTATTTGGGCTGTGTTTGGGCCAATTTTGAAAAATTTCGGGTTCCTTTCACCCGAGACTTGAGCTTTTGCTCGCCCTCGAGCAAAATGCCAACATTCGTACAAAACATATTGACTCATGCAACTTATAACAAAGATTAATAGCCAACTTTTATGTTTTCAGAACTTGCAGTATACATAATCTTTCAAAAAATTTCACAAGCTCGAGTGTTGTACCGAACAAGATTCATATACACTTTTCTTGACTCCATGTGTTTTGCGCAAGGACTTGTTACTCTAGTCGATTCTCAGGCGTTCAAAAGTCTCCACCTCCGTTCTCGAGATATGGTTCGAGTTATATTTTCTTTGGCTTATGACCAAGTTGAGATTCCTCCACAATTCTGGGACTCGGGTCTCGTAAGGCAAAACGAGTTTTCGTCTGATTTTGTCGGATTTCGCATCGCTTCGTCTCCTTGCCTTCTACAACCTCAGACTCTCTTTCTTCTCATACTTAGTCAATTAAACAACACTTCAACGCATTTACCGTATCAAATAACACAAAAGTCCAACCTAAAGAACGCGTAATTGAGCGTAATTTATACACTCAACATATGATTTTGTTTAGAAAAAAAAAATGCATTGAATAATAAGAAAAACAGAGACGAAAAATCTATAACCAAAAAAAAATGATTGTCCATCTAGTTGAAGTAAAAGATACAAAAGGACTTTAAGGACAACAAATAAATTGACAAAATAATCCAACTGGCTATGATATATGTAGTTCATCTCATCATATATGAGAATTGAAAGAGACAATTGAGTGGTTTTAATGAATGTATGATCCGATTACCGATAATAGTCACTTTCTTTTATGATTTTTTATGTGTAGAATAGAATGATAGCTATGTTTTCTCAATATAAATAAACATTTTAATACGTCATAATTAATGAAATGTACAATTTGTGACCACATTAATTAAAATTAGCATATATATATTAATTAACCAAAGATTAAAATACTTGGAAGTGGAACCATAATTAAAATTATAAAAATCATTAAGACGATTCAACTAGTTAGAGGGTGTTTGGCTAAGCTTATAAGATGTTAAAAGGAACTTATAAGATGTTTTAAAGCTTATAAGCTCTTCCAAAGTGTTTGGTAATTTTTTATAAAAATATCTTAATTTTAAAAAAAATAAGCTGTTGGAGAGCAAATAAGATCTTTTTAAATAAGTACATCTACCCCACCTTTTTATTTAAGATCTTATAATGTGTAAAAATATTAAATAAGCTCATTATCCAAACACTCTACAAATTAATCCTCAGATCAAAAAACATCTTATCAGATGTAGAGCTTATCAGTTGTTTAAAATAAACTTAGCCAAACACCCTCTTAGTACACCTCTTGGATCTGATCAAAAAACACACATCCATTTACAGTTTAATGTATTCGGGATTTCTTGAAATTTTTATTATTTTTTATTTAAGGAGTTTGTTATTGAAAAAATGTATTTTGAAAATTAGTTGAGACTTGAGAGTGATTGATTGAAAGAATATTGTGAAATTGATTAAAATTAGAAGTATGCATCCAATCCATGTTTTGTGCCACAAACTCCGGTGCCCATTTTGGAAGACTCTAATGCTAAGTTGCTTTCGGGTCAATTCTCAAATATAATTTTTTTATAAATATTTTGTGCTTTGTAATTATTGGATATTATCGGTGTTTTGATTAATAAAAATCAACGATCCCTTTCCTAATAGACGTACGCCTTGTTCTTGGCCGAACACGTTAAATTACGTGTTCTATTGTTGTTCATCATACAAACATACGTAATCAGAATTTACATGCTTGCTGCGTGAGTTACTTGTCTCGTTACTTGTCTCGACAATTGACTCGTCACAACAGTTAACTGATAATCCTGTAACACTCAAGTTAATCCAAAAAAAAGAAAGGCAAACGAAATGAAGCTTTCATACAAGAAATTCCATCGTGTTACTCATACAATTCAATTCAATTCAATTTAATTAAAATTAATTCAAAATTAAATCATCAAAAAATTAAATGCTTATAAATAGAGAAAGTGGAAAAGTACCAACGGACAAAGACCAAAGCGCGTGGGCCCAATTTACAGAATTAATATTTTCCTCCCGGTGGACTTTCGTGCAAACTGGGCCCACTTTCAGATTTTCCCTCTTCCCGCCCTATTGTAATGCTTACATCTGTCAAGCTCAATTCGATGCGACACGTGTACGGTCAGGATTTCCTGCTATCCTTAGTGGGGCCCCTAGGTCTTTCCGAAAGTGGTCTGACAGCAATTTGGCGCCAAAGCACACAATTTATGAGAAGTCATAATAATTTGGGAATATATATTAATTATCGTCTACTAAATATCCAAAATTGTTTAACTATTTAAAATTTCATATAAATAAATATGATATTTATATATTAATCAACAAAGCACACACACAAGCTATTTCAATTCTTCACCATCCACAAAATTAAAATAAAGTAATAAATAAAAAAGAAAAGAAATAATATTAATGACGTCAGCAGCAGTCATTTTCCTTAATAGTCAAAAGTAAAAGTGAGGTCAGCTACAGAACCACTCCTCACTTTCTCTTTCAGTGTCATCGCTGTATATTAGCTGTCATATTTTTTTATTTTTTCTCTTAATTTGTATTGGTAAATTACAACCTCCTCCCTGAGGTAAAGTGTAACTACAAAAAAGCCCCTTATTTTTCATAAATTGTATCCAGACCTCTAAAGTTTATAAATTTCTTACATCCGCCCCCACAAAAGGGTGTTAATGTAATCAATTTACAAATTACGAGGGGGTGAATGTATTTATGAAAAAAATAGAGATTTTTTCGCAATTATACTTTATCTTAGGGAGGTGGTTGTAATTTAACCTAAATTTTATTTTTCCTCTTTTTCTCACTCCAGTTTTTTCCACTTCACTTGCCTTTCATAAATGATACAAAATCATCAAATATATATGATATTGTATATATAAACAAACTTTGAAAAGCTCTCCCTCTCTCTCCTCCTCCTCTCTCTCTCTCTCCTTGTTTTTCAAAAGCAACCATTTTCGTACACCACCTTGTATCAGCTACTTTCAGGTTGGATTTCTGATCCATCCCGTTGCAACACACACAAACACACACACACACACAAACACACACATATATATATATAATATATGCACAAGTAAAAAAAAATGAATCTTTACATGTATTATTAGTGCCCTGTTTTACATTTTTAGCACAAATCTCGAGACCCTTTTGGACGATTAAGCAGGAACACTTGTAGAGAGTGAAAGAGGGCTTCTTCCATGGCCGTCTTATGAAAAATCTTGATGAGGGTTTCCTAGTTTCTGCCGCAAAAGTTCAGATTTTTCAACTAGTGATTTTCTTGCAGATTGATTTTGATGCAGATTCTGCATTGAGGTTGAGCCCTTTAACTTTTTTCTCCCTGTAAAATCGTGTTTTTGTTAACTCCTAAGTAAAATCGTGTTTTAGTAATCTTCCATAGCTTGAATTTAGAAGAATTCTGTGTTTTTCTATTTAGAACTTGTGATTAATACATGGATTAAATTAAAGGGGTTTTTTATTCTTTGAATTCAAAGAGTTTGTCTTGAATATTTCCACCCCCACCCCCCAAAAGTAGATTTGGATAATTGGACACACTAGATTTTTATATGATTATGTTGCATGATTATGCCATTTTATCATATCTTTGTATATATATGCTTAGATTACGACAACCGTATACTTTATTTCTAAAATAATAACCTTAGATTATTACATACGCAAACGAGTGCATTCATGCTTCATTGCAATTAACAATTTGTAAAACGGGCCCACCGGGAATTAATATTCTCCGTTGATGTTGTTTTCGATATAATCACATTCATATTATATATCATGTAGAATTAAAAAAGCTTACAATAGCAGAGCAAAAAGTCAGTGATTATGTTAATTGTTGTGATTTTATATTGTCATTATTTTATTCGGAAAGACAATTAGGCGGTTAGATTGTTGTTATCTTCCGTTATTTATTTCGATAGAAAAATGCATGCTGTTTTTTGCCAGCCGAGAGAATCCAATTTTCTTGGTACAGATTCCGATTTATTGATGGAGGTTCGTCGAATCGTTAATGGATTTCGTTTCAAAAGGAAAAAAAATAATATACCAACCATGTGCATTTTAGTATACTATATATGCCTCATATTGTTCGATAAGTAAGTGACGGCTGGTGTAAGTTAATATTCTAATGTAGTATTATTTATCTGTTCGTGTACCGATAATTGAATGAGTTTCTGGTATCGTCTCTCGGTCGAGACGCGTTAGTTGTTGTCTTATCTGGTATTTCATATTAAATTAAGGTATGTTTTAGGTGTAACTGCGGAATTCTTTGACCGTAATTGGTTGTGGCTTTTCTGTAAAAGCTACAAAATTTGTTTCACGGTTGGCGTTTATCTACTCTTATATCGCGTGCTTAACTTTATTCGAAGGGTAATTTTTAATTTCTCGTTTGCCCATTTTTACAGAGGAGAGAGATGATGCAACACAAACGAGGCCCTATCTCTCTTGAGCAAAACAGCTTCACCGACTTGATGCCGAAACGGCTAAAGACCGATGTACCCCTCTCTACGAAGGTTAGCCATTTATGATTTTCAAGATTTTTTAAAATTTTTATTTTCTTGGAATTTCACAATTTCTGTCGGTATAAATTTTGCATGATTTAGTACATACATGCTTGCATTTTTATTGGTAACAGGAAAAGAAAGAGAAGGTTAGTGAACGAATTTCTGCTCTTCAACAGCTCGTCTCACCTTATGGGAAGGTAAATGCAAAAAAAAAAAAAAAAGACATAATTTTGAGTCGTGCATATGTTTCGTACAAATTGTGTTGCTTGCTAAATTTGTTACGATTACTTCAGACGGATACAGCTTCGGTACTTCTGGAAACAATGGAATACATAAGGTTCCTCCAAGAACAGGTTAAGGTACGATAATAACCGTATTTCTCTATTCTTAGTCTTTCGAATTAACGTTTAGTAAATGAAGTTTAGCTAATAGCTAACGACAACATTAGTTTAAACTCAAGTGCAAAAATCAAGAATCAAGCTAATTATATATCTTGTTGCTCGTTCGATCCTGCTCCTTTCAGGTATTGAGTGCTCCATACCTTTATAGTACTCCGACTCAATCACAGGTACGCCCGCCTCTAATCAATCAATTAGAGTTTCGATGTTTGAAAATGTCGATTATTGAAACTTAATTATCGACTTTTTAACGTGTAATTTTGTATGTATATATATATTGAAAGGAAGAGGAGCAGTCCAGCCTGAGAGGTAAAGGGTTATGCCTTGTTCCCGTTTCGTTGACAGTTGGAGTTGGAAGCAGTAATGGTGCGGATATATGGGCCCCCGTTAAGACGGGCCCGCAATATTCTAGAAGAACGGTTTCCGATGAAGCTGCTTCAGCCATTACTCAGAGCTGAGTTATGATGAAATCGATGTGTTAGTTTTTTTGGGTGCTGAAAAAATATTTCTTGTTTTGTTAGAAAGGTAGTGCATGTATGTAGATGCTGCAACAAGAATGTATATCGATGAGTATGTGTCGTAAATCTTGAGTTATTCAACGTCATAAGTTGAGATATTAAACCGTATAAGAGGAGTTAAACGATGTAATGGATCCATGCGGATTCCGTCGGGATCAGTCCAAGTCCAATCCACTTTGGATCTGTTCGTATAGATTAGTTTCGGATTCGATTCTTTTTCGATCCAATTCAAAAATATATATAATAAGAGTAAACCACTCGAAAATCAGACAATTACATATATAATCAAGTGAAAATGAAACAAACACACACACACAAAACAGTGAGGATTCACACAAATGCATGTGACCCTCTTATTAGCCATGGACATAAACATCAATTCTTTAATTATTTTCCGATCAAGGGTGGCGGAGGAAGGGCGGAAATACGACTGAGTTAGGATTTGCACGGATAATTTTCCGGGGAAGAGGAATGGTGACGACACCCTTGTCGTTTTTAGGGCAACAAGCAAAGTTCGGGTAACGGCAACAAGGACCTGGAGTTAATGATTCCGCCGGAGCCGCCGTCATAAGAAATACTACAAACAAACAGATGCCCATGCTTCTCATTATACTTTGTTTCTCCATTACTAATTTGCTTCAACAACAAAATGTTAATATATAAATTCAGCTATTTTATTTAATGTATTAATTGGTGGATTTGCTGGAGTTTATATAGAGGTGAATAATCTAGCCAGACAATGATCATAAATATATATATATATATATATATGATATTATTGTATGGTGTTATTAATTAATTAAAATAGTAGTATATTAAAATTGAATTTGTCGCAGTCAACACTATAGCATTGGTATCTGCGTCATGTCACAATTTGGATGACTGTTTCATAATACCCCAACAGCTCATCATTTGCTAAAGATTGATGATCATCATTGGTTTTACCTATTGGAGATTTATTTTTTTCTAATCACATTTTTTTTGTTATAGTATTTAAAATAGGGATTAACTTGTTTTCGCCGTTTTTTTTTTTTTTTTTAGTTTTCATATTTTCCCGATTTAATTAGGTTCTTAAGTTTTATTAGGACATTATTACTTTTCGAATTTAAAATAATTTTCAGAGATTTTTCTCTCTTTGTCCATGTAATAATTAATTGTTTCATAAAACGCCCCATGGAACAAAAGAACGAGCAAAGCTCATGAATCACGTTAAAGTTTTGTGATTACTTTTCATCCGTATAAATGTGTATACAATAGGTAGGTTTTAACATAACATCGATTTTTCTCTCGTTTTAGGTGAATTGTGAATGTTTATTTGTTCTATAGGATTAACTCGAAATCCACTAGTTATATTTGGGTTCGGTAAGAAACTCTATCACAAGCAAAACAACCAAAGCGGGAACATAATCGTAATAATAATACAAAAAAAATTGATAGATTTCAATTTCAAGAAATGTGTCCATATAATTATTTTTGGTAGATTTCGATTCAAGAGAACAAAATCAATAGACATATATTCAAATTTATATCGATCTAACTTTTTCTTCATACACATTTCAACATTATTCAGCTACATAGAAGAAAGCTTGAACCAGAAACAACAAAACATATTTATTCAAAGCAGATATATATATATACTCCCTCGATATACGTATTTTTCTTTTTCAGTTGAACATATATAATTATTTTTTCGATGATCAATGTTGATGTATTAAGGGCGATGCCAGATAGTCGGGATCAACTTGTGAACCGAAGGACTTGCTCTACGCGTTTTATGAACGGGCCGATAATTTGCATTTAAGCCCTTCTTCACACTCTCAGGACAGCAATCCATATTGTTTCCTTTGCAACATGGAATCCATGGCCATGGCCCATCTGCTTTCACACTTGTAACCATTATTACAAGTAGAGAAATCAGAATACATACACTGATCAAGTTCTTTGCCATTAAAAAAAGGATGTAAGAAAGTGTTAATCTCTCCGATTTTCGCACTACATATACGTTGAACCTTGTGAAGAAGAGCGAACCACTTATATATTTACCTTATCTATGCATATATATACACATATATATATTATTATATATATCACTGTCTATAATAAGGTGCCATTAGTATAATCCATCCATACCTTCCTTGAAATAATCGAACCGAACGTTGCAGTTAACGTGCCTAAACAAAAATGTCATTATCGAAATATTGTCACCTGTCCACAGTCTTCCTTTCTTGACAGGAACACAAACTCTTGATATTGCTATTGATAAATGCCCTGTTCTTTTGACCTGGCTATCATGTAAGCAACGATTGCAGTATTTTGTAAAAAAACGAGAAGTGCATTTAAATAAAAAATATTCAAAGACCAGCATAATTTCAGTTCATCGGGTTTAGCATTGGTAAAATCAGTTGATAATATTTTTTTTTACTTTTTTACTTACAGACTGAAAATACATATTGCCATCTGTTCTCTAGCAGAGAGGAACAGAGAGCAAATATTATTGTAAATATAAACATTGGAGGAAAAAAGACAAATAACTTAACAACATCGGGAAAGCAAGGCGGACTTGGGGATTTGTCACCGGATTTAATTATTTTCTTGGGTGACAGCCGAAGAAGAAGCGATATTAGAAGTCCTTGATTTGGTGATGTATGAACGAGCTGCGTCTAGCCTTATCTTGTACACTTTCTTATTCTGCAATTGATTTCAATCGAATTTTGTTTATCTACCGTGATGCAATCTTACTAACTAAGAGAAATAGTGGTGAATGCAAAGAAAAATACATACGTCGTCGACAGCAGCTGATTTGATTTTAGATTGAAGCAGACACCATTTCTTGAAGTATGCTCCTGAAAGGGTCGTCGTAAAAATGTAAACAGGTTCATACATTCTATTGCATATTAGTTATAGTACGTACGAAATCGCAGCCTAATCCAATTTTTTGAGTTAAACATGAGAAATTAAGAAAATGCAGAAACTTACCAAACGTAATATCCACTGTGCACGAAGATTCAGATACCGTCTCAACAGACCATCTACAGTGAGCCTGATTCACGAGACATATACACCGAGAATTTATTATAAAAGAATAAAGAACCCTTGATTTTCTAATTGCAAATAGATTTTTTTTCGAGTAAAAAACCAACTAAAATTATTAAGCCAGATTTACACTACTATGATTGTTATATTATTCTCCACAGAACTTAAATAGAATCTGCGTACCTCAAAATATGAAGCAAACGGGACACCCTCTGTTTGTTGTACAGTCTCAAACACCTAACCGAAAATTCATATAATAAAAAATTAAATAATATCAAATTAATGCAACCAAACAATAAATTTAAGAGGGTTATGTCATTCAGAAGTTAGTATCACCAGTTTTTTCTTATCTGCTGTTAAAAAAGTGTGCTGCAACTCTGTTACTGGTATATCTGGAGGGCATAATGGGAAGTTACACAAGGTTCTGTATTTAACATCTCTGACTTGACCATTGTATTCACTAGAGGCATGCCACTGACTCACCTGAAGTTACGTAAAAGGACAATTGCGATCATTAAACGCAGACTTCAGTTATTTAGACTAATAAAAACAAATTTCTTACAAATAAATGACACTTACTATCAGATTAAAATCCTTTCGGGCTGTGTGGTACTCGTTTGTGAAAGTCGAACCATCGTCTAGAACAAATTTGAAAAATTGCTCCGCTGTGCATGGAAAAACATCCTACAAAAGAATTTACATAACCAAAAAAAACAACATTTTAATTATGGTGCTAAAATTCTACCTGGAGATTAAGGGATAGGGGGAGAATTAAATACATTGTATATTCTGGTAAGAACTTCCTCTTTGATGAATGGTTGGAACCGTTCGATTTTTGCGACAATTTCTTCAGAAATGTTAGATTGGCTTTCGCTGCCTCTGAAAGAGCTGCTGCTATGTGCAGGCAGTGTTGGCATTTTCTTCTCCTTTACGAAATAAAGCAGTGCTGGCTGCTGCTTTTCCTTTATGAAATCAAGCAAAGTTGATGGTTCTCTCTCCTTCTTGAAATGAACAGAAAAAAATTGTTCAACGCATTAAAATATTTTGGGGAAATATATATTTTACAGAGTACAGGAACAAACCTTCTTCTCAGCTTCAAACATGGTGTGGTATTTCTGCACCGCATGTTGTAAATTTCTCAAGACGTGATTCCTATTCCAGAAAGATGCAAATTTGTATCTGACTTTACCTAAAATAGAAAGATGGATATGTTCATCATAGATAACGAAAGCCACTTAGAAGAACAAAAACGGAGAACAATACTAACCATCACCATTCCCCAAAGGAGGCGCGCCGTGGCCCCCAGCACCTACTCGAAGGATTACTGTAATAGCTGGATTGATTATTGCATGTCGACTCCTTTTTATCTGTGATAGAACGCAATCTTTGATGATTTCAATTCTTTTTTATACTTCCAGTTAAAGCCTAAAGCATCTAAAAGTGGTCGTGTGGAAATGAAACTGGGAAGGGGCTTCATACCTCGTCTATGTCTCCAAAAGGTATAGTTACCTGATAAAATGGAAACACGAGCATAAGAAAAAGGAATAAAACCTAATCGACCAACTATTGTATGAAGCACTTGTAGTCAGACCGTAAAGGCATTAGTCAAGCTCGTACTGAACTAAATTCAGTTGGACATAAAACACACAATAAGTAACAAGCAACCGAAAATCAGACACTGACCTTTATTTGCTTTGAGAAAACATTTGAGTGGAAGCAGATGTTCCATGCTGATATATACATCCGGCCGTGATACAGAAACGATCTCTCAAGTGCGCATGAATAGCTATGTTCAACAATCTGAAAAGCAGCATTTATATCAGCGACTAAAATTGCCTAAAATTCCCAAACAAGGTATAACAAGAAAGCCCAAAAGTTAACCAAAGGCACTAGAAAGAAAGTACAGGTCTAAAATATGGTATAAAGCTATGCCTCATCTGATAGAAGATTATATATTGTTTGCAGCGGGCCATGTTTCTGATGAAAGACCATAGGTTCTTGGTCAGCGAAAGCCTTTCTTTGAGTGTTAGCGCCAGAACATCCATCCAAAACCCTAAAAAGAGTAGATTAAGCGAGATAACGTACCTTTCTGCACAAAACGTCTTTAGAGTAAACATTCCGTCTTTGCGAGATAAGCAGGCATGAAAAACCTACCTGGAAGAATCTACTTGAAGTTTGTGGGTTTTAATATGAAGACAGACCTGAAACAAAGGAAGAAATTCCAACCACTTCAGCAGAAAGAAAACACGCACACGCATACACAAACAGCCAAAATAAAATGTTATAGATCTCAAAAGAGGCACGTTTCATTACAATTTGTTACCTGTCCAGATGCACCGTCCAAAGTATACCATATTGCACCAGTTCGACCTTCATGTTCAACAGGAATAGTCACTGAACCAAGAACTGCACTTCTTTCGAATTATATCCCAGCCATAAATCGTCACAATAATCTGCCATAAAATATTGGTAAAAGAATCAGTTTAAGAAAATATAAACTAAGAAACAGCTACTGGATTACATCATGCAAGTACATTGCCAAGATATAATTAAAACTACTCGAAACTCATTCTCCAAAATATTGCACAACTTCCACCGATATCAAACTTGAGCAAGACAAACTTAAACCGCAAAAATAAATCTAGTTAATCTGAATAATAGAACTAAATATCACAGTGTTCTGTTTAATAGGTAAAATTCATGGATAACGAGTTGTGAACTTGTGACGCTTGATTATGCTTCATTCGCAAGACTCTGTTCAAGACAACTAACTACCTTAACAGGAAGCTCGTCAATGGCAAAATTGAACCCCTCCCGCCAAATGGGATTTCTTGATCCAGGTACCATAGAACTACAAGAAACCCCAAAATTAAGTATAAAATTTCATTCGAATATCCGCATAAATGACTATAGAGGCGCCAAATGAGATGCAATCACCTGAAGCACTTCTCCGCACCACAAGAAATAATTGCATAAGGATCTGATGTGCCGTTCAAATTTGCCCCTCTTAGATTCTTCGCTGCTAACAGCTTCACCTGAAACAAGGACTAGCTGCTATCATAACCAACACGATGTTCGAAATTCAAATTGATAATTTACTGTAAAAAATAGTTCAACCACCAGGATAGCTAAGCAAAGTGAAAAGATGCCAGCTGTCAAAAGGACTACCTTAATTAAATATGCAGAATTAGAGTGAAGATCTCCTTTAGACTGGTCCATCTACAAAGCAAGTGTAAAATGTCAAGCAGGTTGAATATTGCTCCAGAAACAGGTCAAGAGTAAATAAACTTTTTACAAAATATATAAAATATATCATAATAACACATGAATACTAATTGCAATTAAGTCTACAAAATCTACAGCAAAATCATGAAACAAACAGTTATAGAGGACCAATCTTTCCTGAATTTAGTGCTTCAATTACCGAATTAACCTCCTATTTTCAATGACAATTTGTAGCTAATACACACAAAACAGAAGAAGGAAAAAAAAAACCAGATTGAATATATATACCTCTTTTTCGTCATCATCCACTTCCGCGGGGCGGCCGGCGGAAGTTTCCACCAATGTCCGGTCAACTCCGTCTCCGAGGGTTAAGAACCAGTACGCCACGATCAAAAAGGCCGCCGCCGCCACGGAGAGTTGCAACTCCTCCCACGACGGCAGCAACAACCCTACCACCGTCTCAAACCCCAGCATTTTCCCCCAAATTACTCCAATTGCACGAATCGTGAAACAGTTGGAATGGATGGGGATTGGGGAAGGTTAATTTAGGGAGGGATAAACATAAATATAAACATAAACATAGAAGAAAAACAGCGAACACAAAAATCCGGAAAATAATCAGCACGCAGTAAAACAGTGTGTGTGCGTGCTTTTGTGTGCATGATATATAGAAGACAGGCGTTGCAGACTAATGAAGGGGAAGAAGAGATAATCAGGTATCGTGAATACAAAGATACGCGTGACTCATTCATTAAAAATGACGATATTGGGTCTTTGATTAGGGACAAAAGTGTAATAAAATCTTTCTTTTGAGGGGCTATTGAGAAAATAAAATAGTAATTGATCTTTTTTTTGAATTATTTTAATAAGAAAAATGGCGGGACCGTAACGGAAAGTTGAGATGTGTATGATGCGCGAATAATGATTATGGTTTTCTTTTCTGTGTTCGCGTGAATTTAAAATAGCATGTGAGGGAATATAAAGTAAATAAATTATTATTGTTTTTGCTATTAATGATTTTGAATGGGTTATTATTTATTTATTTATTTAGTTTTTTTACGGGTTTTTATGTTTTCAAGAAAAAAATCAGGTAAATTGTTTGTTAGAAAAATTGTTTCTGTCTATGTGTTTACTTTAATTATCTTTATATATAATTAATTTGTAATTTCATTTGTAATTAATTTATTTATAGATTACCTCTTTTTTTTTATATAATTGTTTATTACTAGCTTATTAATCAAATTTATTGGTCAAGGTTGATCAAGAGCACTATTGGCGATCAATATTGTAACATATGATTAAAAGACCACTTACATAGCATAGCTTTAATAAATAAATAAATAATTAAATAACCCATAAAATAAAATATAGTTGTTAATTGTTATAATACAAGCTTTAGCTTTCCATTAATTTATTATAAATTTATAACATAGCTTTACGGCGTCTACATTATGCATGCTATGATAACACCACATGCTCACATTGTTAACCACTACCAAAATGTCACTAATATATATATATATATATATATCACTATTTGGATCTCATTAATTATATCTTAATATCGTTCGATAATTCATACGTAGGTGTATAAACGAATCTGGTTGGTGCGTGTACATTTTTGTTCAAACTTGTTTTGATTATTTATCGAGCTTTTACTTATGTGTTTTGAGTTTAGTTTGATAAGCAATCGAGAATCATTCAATAGTAACATATTATTATTATTATTATTATTGTTATTATTATTATTTGACCATAATACATATAATTCACGTATAATAAAATTAGAATTAATCAAGAAATTGAGCTTGTCCAATATTATATTGGGCCGAATGAATATATAACTTTATTTTTTCAAAAGCCCATCCCAAACAATTATTCTTTATGACTGAATTAAATTGAAAACAAAGCCTTGGGAGCTGTTGGGCTTCACTTCTCTGCTCAAATTAGGGCTTCAGTCTGATCACTCATGTCAAATGCAACATAATTGTCACAAATGATTAATTTTTCAGATAATGGTAAAATAATGGGTAAATTGCGGCCACCTCCCTCAAGTAAAGTCAAATTATGAAAAACTCCTTCATTTTTTAGTAATTACAACTACAATTACGAATCAACTTTCACGTTCACTTTTACAAAGCGTCAAATTTACGGAATCTTGTTGATTTCGTGGAATATTCTCTAGTTTGTACTCGTTTTATGCAAAAAGGCAATTTTAGATGCACCACAATCTGATATTTACAAGCCATGAGACACATCTTGTGATCATCTTGTTGCAAAATGCAAAGTTGAAACAGGGTAAAACGGGTACTAATTAACTAGAGAATATTCCACACAACTTAGAAGATTTCGTTAAATTTGGCACGGTAAAGTTGGATGTGTGAGAAAATTCATAGTTGAGGAGCGTGGTTGTAATTATCCAAAAAAGAAGGGTATTTTCACAATTTAACTTTACCTCAAGGAGGTGGCCGTAATTTACTCTCTGATGATTTAAGTTCTCCACAAAACAAGGACATCGAAATTATTCGGCCATTAGGGCAAGTTGTAATTATTTGATTTTCGGGTTTCCGATCAAGCAATCAGGAGCGGACCATGAACGATTTATTGGGTTCGAAAATAACGAAGTATGAGTTTACAGCGACTCAGGGCAACTCACGAATTATTTTTATGAGTATTTTTTTAAAATATAGTAAATAAGTAAATATTTATCTTTTAACAAGGATAATGCAAATTAAAAATATAAAATAAATTTAGAAATTATGCATGTGGATGTTTTTAAAATTTTCTAGGGGATAAATACCGAATAAATATATTTAAAAGAAAATAGAAAATAATGGGAGTATAAAAGCGCGCTTTGACCGCAGAACCAAAAGCGTTAATGGCTAGTGAATAAGTTGCAACTAGTTTAGGTCACAATACTACACTTATTATATCATAAAGTAAATAAATTAATTGATATATATATTGAGAAAACATAACGTTCCCTTCCCTCACTCAAAAAAAAAATACGCCGCCCGTGTTCTCGCCGCCAACCTCCTGCCACCACTTCATTCTGCTCCGGCGCCGCCTTGTATGCATGGATTATGCTTCTTTCCATCTGGGTTTCTCGCCTCTTAACTGAAAATGGTACTTTTTTTCAGCTCTCTCAACTGCTTATAATTATCAAACACGTGTTCATCTATCCGCCATTTGCTTTTGTTTTTTCTTAGTTAAATTGTATCGTTTTTTGTTGTTTTTGCTCGAGAATTTTGTGTCCCTTTATAGTTTATGTAATGATTTTCCACAATCTTTGTCTTGACTGTGTAATGAGTATGTTAGTTTTTCGTTTTTGTTGAGCTTAAGCTGGATAAATTAGTGTAGGCTTACAATTTATGATTAGCTAATAAAACACACGTTTTGTTAATTTTAATGCATAATTCATGTTTCTGTATCGAAGAATTGAATTATTGGAGTGTGATTCTTCCACCGGATCAGCTGAGATACTCGGAATTTTCGAAATTAGCACTTGTTTTTTCGAGATTGATTTAGATACACATAGACGATTGAATTGTTTAATTGTGTGAAGTGCGAAAACCGTAATAACATATGTTAAAATGCAGAGTACGTTGAACGAAGGAACTGAATCTTGCAAGGATGCAGATGATGTTTCCGTTGATGTTATGGAACTTTCTAGAAGCAGGGACGTCGTCTTGGAGGCGAAAGAAGACCCCGACGCAACCGAAAATTCTAGTTCATTCGCCGACACGATTTCTGGAAATGAAAATACTTCTGGACTAAGCGATGCTGAAGTCGAATCGCAGTTCTTTGGCGGCAGTGGTGTGGCCCCTCCATTTGATGGATTCGGCAGCATTTTTCCCATAAGGTTATATTTTCTTGATTGCTTCCATTGATAATATTATACATTTTCTCGTCTGGTTGGGGAGATTAACCATGATTAACTAAATAATTGAACTCTGTTGATGTTTGGTAAACCCAATAATTTTCAGATCGACCCGGAAATATTGTTTTATCTTGGCTTATCTTGCCTTTCGGGGAGATTATTTATTGGATCATTGATGGTCCGATAATAAAATTGTGTTTTCAATTTTCATTAGATTATTTAATCTTATCTCGGCTAATCATATCTCGGCAACCAAACGAGGCCTTAGGTACCAAAAGCGATCATGTACTTTTACTTATGATTAGAATCCTTAAGCATGTATGTACTCGTTTTATCTGTGATGTTGGACGCTTTTTTTTTTATTTTATTTTGTCACCGTAAAATTTGATTCGAAATTTTCTTGATTTACTTACAAACCGACTCGTTTAATTCTTTACAGGAAGAGAAAAATGACTGCTCACTGGAGAAGCTACGTGCAGCCTATAATGTGGCGGTGCAAATGGACAGAACTGAAAATAAAGGAGCTGGAATCTCGAGCATTGAAATATGCCAGAGAGATTTCTTTATACGATAGCATGAAACACACTGTGTCCAATCAAATAACAGAAGAACAAAAATCCTCCAAGATGATGTCATTCACGCATCATCAAAGCCGCCGAAGAAGTCTTATGAGGAGGATTAAAAGAAAGAGAGTGGAAGATACGACCGATCTTGCATCGTATATGTCGAATCATGTCCTTTTCTCCGAGCGTGGTTCGATTTTCTCTCTTATCTTATATTAATCGTTTCGTTTTTTTTTGGTTACTTTCCACTAAAAGAAAAAGAGCAACTAAAAATCGATTGTGTCACGTATTATTTGCAGATAGTAAGAGATCTGATTTGGATGGAGTTCCTACATGGGACAACAACAACCTTGTTACTTCAGGTGTGTGCTGATGTCATACGTCAATTATGGTTAATTGCATTTAACACCCTCGTGTTTACTCTAATTGTGAAAAAACACCGTGTGTTATAAATATTAGCCAAATCCCCACTATGATTCAATTTTATTAGCAAACGACCCCCTAAAAACACACAATTTGTCGGGTTGTGTGCTAAACAAAATGCATCATTGGGGTTTTTTTTGTCGAAATTTATAACACCAGGGGTTTTTTAGCAATGCGATATAACGTAGGGTACTAAAAAAAAAAAACTCATTACTATAGCATCATAGTATTTATAATTTTTTTTTAGATCAAACTACAACTGGTCAAGATGAATTTGGGATTTACGACGAAAATTTATTTCCCGAAGATGATGATGATGATAATTTCCTAGAGGACACCCTTCGCAAAATCGATTTGGTCCACGCTCGTGTTCATAAGCTCAAGAGTCAACTCGACGTGGTAATGATAAACAATGCCGGAAAGTTTTCATCGTCCGAGAATTTGAGCCAGCTATTGGGCTGCGATTTTCAGACTAGCTCTGCGCGTAGCCCTACGTATTCTGCATGCAATGGAGACACTGTCTCGGTTGGAGGCATTTATCAGATTAATAATATATCGGACTACGAACTCGGAGATTTCGTTATGAATGACAGCGCGGTTTCTAGCTTTGGAGAGGCTATCCCGATTCCCGATATCATCGAGAGCACAGTTGGGCTATTGTCCTCTATCGACGTCACTCAGCATCAACCCCAAATCGGAGATTCGTCTGAAAAGGTAACATTAGCATTTGTTTTGTGTGGTGTCCTAATTGTGATTCGGGAAAGATACTTTTATAAGGGCTCGTTTGGTTGATAAGATTAGCCATGATTGATTAAATAATTGGATCTTATTAGATGTTTGGTTAGTCCAATAAATTTTCGGGCCGGCCCGCAATTGTGGAAAAAATAGCTCTAATCGTTGCTTATCGATGGATTATTTATTGGACCCCTATGGTCCAAAAACTAATTGGGTTTTTATAAGATTATTTAATCTTATCTTGGCTGATTTTATCTTAGGAACCAAACAAGTCCTAATTGTACCAATTTGTTTTTCTATTACTCTGAAATTGGGAAGGAGCTAATACTAAGGCCTCGTCTTGAGGTTTTATACTTCCCAAGGCTTCTGAAAATTTCCGAAAAACCAAAATTTCTGCCAATTCCAATTCGATTTTTTTTGATTTTGGAACAATATTTCTCATTCCGAATACTGAAATTCCAAATTTTGATTTTCCGTTTTTTTTTTTTTTTTGGAATTGGAATAAATATCAGATTCCGATTTGCAATCCAATTTCAATATGCAATTTTTTCTCTTCGTAATTTACACTTATAATATCAATATTATTAAGTATTTTGTATTATAGGTGACCAAAAATTTGGACCTTCCAAATTCCACATATTCCGATCGGAAATTTTCTGATTTTGGAACAAGGTTTTTCATTCCAATTTCCAAAATTTCGATTTTTATTTAACGGAATCGGAATTAGTTTTTCACTTCCGAAAAAAATGGATTTTTTTCCCAAAAAAATACTAATTCCAATCATGGTTTATCTTGCCAACCAAACGAGTCTTAGATCTGACAAAACGGGGGTTGCATATAGCTGCATAATCTGCTAACTCCAAATCAATAATAATACAATCCTTACCAAGTTTCTTTGTGTGATTACAGATAGTTGATAATATCTTGATACAGAACGAGGCAGCATCAGAAGTAGAGGGCTCGATTTTCAAATACAGCCACAATCAATCTGCTGAGAAGATTCTAGAAGCAGAAAATAGTGGCGGGGAAGAAGAGAGCAATACCAACAATGCCGTGGAACCAGCTGACGTGGCAGCGAAAGGTTTTGCAACTACAGACCAATCCGTTCTGAAATCGTGTCTATCTTCGGAAATCCACTTCCCTAAAAATAAAAGAAAACGAGGGGAGCGTAAAGCCGGTTCGGCCAACTGGAGCCGCCAGCGACCTGGCGAACCCGACAGCTAATAATTACTTCAAAATAAATAAAAGAAAAACGACGAATTTTCTCAACGAAAAAAAAAATAGTGCTGACATGAGAAAGTCGTGGACTCATAAGTTGTCGGTTTCTTCTTGTTGTTCTCGTTTTTGTCTGTTAAAGTTATGGTACTTCACTCCTTCCTATTTACTATCCAGTATCCACGCTTCGTTCGACACACACCCATGTGGGCGTGTGTGTGTGTGTGAAAAAACGGAGAGTGGATGGTTGGAGACTTGTATTTGTCGTTTATTGGCCTTGAAGAGCCGAGGCGTGGTTACGCCACCTGGACTTGTTTGTTGTTTTGTGTAATTTCCATTTCTTGGTGCTGTTTCTTGGACATGTTAAATTTGTAATACATGTGCACAAAGTTCAAACTACAGGGGGTCATATGCTTATATTTGAAAGTATAAGGAGTCATGTGCACAGAGCTCAAACTACAGGGGGTTAACTGCTATTTATCCTATATAAAAATTGCAGCAAAGTCCGAAACTATCAACGAAAGCGGCTATAAAGAAGGCACTTTAAAGAACCGTATGGAATGGAATGGGTCAAAAACCGCAGGAGAATTATTCAAATCCTACCTGCATATTAAATGCGAATTTATTCCAAGTTCAAAATAAGTGGATTGAATATTGAATAACAACTGAATTGGGGAGTAACAATTAAATAAATGAAGTGCCATAATGGGAATAGCAATGAACAACATTTTTACAAAATTGATCTAATTTGATTTTGACTATGGTCTCCTTAGTGGAAACTGGTAGCCCAAGCTACAATCTAAAGCAACCAGTTAACACTTCATGCCAATCATTTTTTGAAGTCATCATGTTATTCATCTAAATAAAAAATAAAAAAAAATATCGAGTTTTCGTTATTCGTTTATTTTCTTTAATTATATACGCTGGCGTCAGATTTCTCACGAGCAGTCGTGGCCGATAAGTGTCATCTTGTTTAGATGGGAATGGGGTGTCACGTCGTCTAATCGTTTTTCAGGTGTCGATTAAAACCAACGAGCATCCTTAAATATCGTATTGACATAAAATATTAATATATAAATACACATAAATCTATATTTATATTATATGTTATTTATTAATATATATGCTGTTGGAACTTGGAAGCCAAGTGAAAGAGCCAACTCTATGATTTTTGGGCTGTCAAGGAATCTCCAGCCTGACTTATAAAGGACCATTTGATCCACACTTCATTCTTATTTACTTTACTTTCTTTAAATTATCTAATTAATAAATATATATTTAGGACCTTATAAATTAATAAAATATTGTATTTTATTTACAATTAATTCTTAAATGATTCGCGAACGAGATGAGTTCGATTAGTTGACCAAGAAAAAAACAAAATAGTACTGCAGCATGACCGTTGGACGTATAAATAATTAGGGGGAATGCATTTAAATTTTGATTTAATTGAAAGATGATTAAATTAGAGTGCAAATAATTGTCACACCAATATAAAAAAAAAAAAAAAAAAAAAAAAAAGGAGGATGGGCCAAACATTTGGTTAGGAATAAGTGGGTGGGATATGATAATGCTGTCCGAAATACCGCTCTAACAAACTTTCAC